TTTATATCTGCTTAGTGAAAGGCAACCAAATTAAATAATTTTTTATTAATGTGGTTGGTATTTTTATTTATTTGTCCTTTCTACCACCTTCCTCCGCGACTTATAGCGGCGCAAGCGATCGGTTCCTTAGTATATCCTTACAAGTGCAAAGAATAATAAGGATGTAGCACGAGTGACCACAGGCACACGGCTATAAGAACAATGGGAAAACAAGTATGTAAATAATTTAATATATTTAGAAATAGATACAGACCTGAAGACAAAGAATAATATTATATTTACATCGATAAAGGCTCATCCAGACTTACCATCAAAATTGGTCAGAATATTAGATCAGAAAAATTATCAAAAAACGGTGAAAAAAATTATGATGGAAAGTGATAGGTGGGGTATTAAACACAAAATAAAAATAAATTACAGCTAAAAATTTCCCAGGCGGTTTGGGGGTGGAGCGGTTAAAATGGGTCGAAATTTTAGTAAAACTAAAATACTATTTTCAAAACAAGCTTGATATCTTTCATCAATGGAATTAATAAATAATAACACCTCACTAAAATTTGGCAATTGCTATATGAAAAAAATCAAATATAATCAGGATAGGGCAGAATATTAGCTGGTATGGTGGATGATTGTTTTTTAAGTTTTTTAAGAATTTTATAGTAAATTCTATATATCTACAATCTGCTAATAATATTCTGATAGATTGATTGAAATAGGGAAGGACTGTTAAAATATATGTAGGTCCTGTTCTGTGCATAGTTTATAAGGTACTGACTTATGGAAGTATACTTATAATTGTAGTAGCTATAACACGCTATAATTTTATACAAAAATAGATGATTAAATTTTGACTCCAATATTTACACAATAAATAATTAAAATTAACAGATGTCCTGTCAAAGTCACGTGACTACCACAGTATATACCACAAATAATAGTGTAAGTAGAATAGAACAGGTGAGGAGAGTGAATTGCATGGGTCCAGCCGTTCGTATTGGTGACGGCGCTACTAGTTACGTAGGTAGAGAAACGACAGAGACGAGACCATGATATAAGGAAACATGGTATGCTCACGCGCATCTATTTTGAACAGCCAATCGCGTTTACGACCAAAATCCGCCATTTTGAAGGCGGCAATTCAAATATGTACAAAATTGATACGAAATATCGTAGTTAAATTAAATAAAATAAAATTAATATTATACATTAATCCAATTAATTCATATTTAAAATGATCTGAACAGACTCTTGCACAAAAAAACAAGACTTACTTTTAAATTCCAATACATTGCAAAGTAAGGTTAAAAAATGCAAAAGTAAACAAAGCAGACGTCACGCATGTAGAGGTGGTTGATTTTTGTGGATCAGGTCAGGTATGCTCACTTACACTTACTATGAGTAGAGTACCCGTACCATGGACGTATAAATAAAGATCTTTATTTATACGTCCATGATCCGTACTCGTTTATTATAATATATTGGTGTTAGAGATCAGTTCTACAAGTATAAATAAAATACATGTTCCAAAGTAACTGGTACGGGATCAGGTCACCATCCCTACACGCATGTGACATATTGAAAAGATGGTGGATTTTGGTCGGCGCAGAAATGTGCAAAAACGAGTCCACCTAGTGAGCATACCTTGTTTCCTTATATCATGGACGAGACATAAGACATGACATGGTACAATGTGTTATCAAAGAATATAGACGCCTAAGCGTCTATATTCTTTGGTGTTATTATGCTTGTGCGTCACAGTGTTGCCACATTTTTTTGTATAAAGTATAGGAGTTTTTAAAATAGAAAGATACTTTGACGAAATAATGTTTTAAAAACTTATACAGAAGTAAAATGCTTCACATTTGTATTTAGGTATATACATAAATACAAATGTGTTGTGTTTTACTTCTGTATAAGTTTTTTAAACGATGGTATACAGCCAACTACTGGGATTTTCCCATTAATTTTTATGTAATGTTTTGTTATGAGAAGCTACAATTTTTGAATTCATATTAAAAAGCATTCATAAAATAGTATTTTTTACTTTAAATATAGCTAAATACTTGGTGTATACTTTTGTTTAACCTAATTTTTTTATTTTCATTTAACTTTACTTTATTCTGTAGTTTTTACAGATTCTAATCTATTAATACGCGCTTAATTTCGGGTCAATGCTTTATAAATGCATTCATTTTTTTCGAATCCTGAGAAAACTAACAAATATTTTTGAAAAATTTAAACGCAGAATTAAAGATTATATATTATACCGAGGGCCGACAGTCCCTTAAAATAAACAAAAAGTTTTTTGAATGAGATATTTGAAATTAAAAATCACTAAATTTTCTCTTTTTTTACCCCTGTAACTTATTAAAATAAACATTATAAAAGTTTTCAGGGACTTTCGGCCCTCGGTAATAATGTATTCTTTCATTCTGCGTTTAAATTTTTCAAAAATATTTATTAGTTTTCTCAGGATTCGAAAAAAATAAATGCATTTAAAAAGCATTGGCCCGAAATTTTGCGCCTACGCTCTTAAGCATAATTTTAATGGTTTTTATTATATAAGTATTTTTAGATGTAGAAATGCAAGATATAATTTTATTTTATAATATTTATAGGTACAATTTTAATGCTTTTAATTATTTATGTATTTTTCACGTTTTTATTCAATTATATATGTATTTTGCAATTTTAAATTTTCATTTCATATAATATAAATCTTGCCCATAATTTTATATGTGAGAGTGTGAAATAATTGAGTATATGGCAACACTGACGTTTATTAAGCGTCATTAAGCGTTTATTTAACGTCAAAACATATCTATAGGTTATGTTCATTGAATGAAAATTAAATTTAACCATTTATTTTCCATTAAAAGTATGCTTTTTGAATTTTGACGTCTAAAATAGAGAACATATTTTTTAATTTGTTTAATTCAGACCCTACGTACCTACGTTTTGTCGCCAAATGAAGTTAGTTTCAGCCCGTCCGCATTTGGCGCTTGAAACTCTCTCCCAAATATTTCTGTGGGACTTACCTTACTAGAGGGCTATGTACTGTGGTGACTAGGATGTAAGTAAATGTAAACATAAAATAAAGTCAAAATTTCAGGTTACTGTAAGTGTAAATAAAAGTTAACATTTCCAAAAATCAGATATAAATCGTTGTTTTCGTCAAAAATACAATGTCTCGAGAAGTGATAAAAATGAAACAAGGCATGTCTTATTCATGCAAAGAGAAAATTATAATTCTGAATGTCTTTAAATACTTTAGTAAAATGCATCCAGAAAAATGTGTGACTGAAATTGTTAGGCGAACTTCTAAAGCAACAGGGTGTAGTGAGAAAAGTATTTTCCAATTTAGAAAGGAAGAAGATAGTCCTCAGGGATTTAAAGAACCATCAAAAACCAAAGTTAGAAAGAACCTCAATATCAATAGTAGGTTTTTAAAATATGATGAGGAGGTAAGGGAATCAATTAAGGAAATTATTTATGATTTAAAATATAGGAATATAGTACCGAGTTTAAGTACTATATTGAAAAATGTTAAATCCAACAGTAACCTACCAAATTTTTCATTAATGACTCTAAGAAGGCTGCTTTTTGATATGGGCTTCTATTATCAAAAGCAGAAAAATACCAACAAAGCTATTTTGGTTGAGAAAAATAAAGAGAATACACAGGATCCAAAGATTGAAACAAAAGATGAAGTGCAGTGTGTTAAACCAAATGAACTTGAAAAAATGAGTGATAAATCAACTAACATGCCTGAGACAATTCCAGAAAACCATGCATATATGCCAAATCCTAACCACGGACACATGCCACTGTTGCATTTTGGACAAAATGAAAACCACATAATGGATGGAGTCCCTGTTGGCTTTCAGCACCAGATGATGCTGGATCCTAGAATACATCATCCTATCCATCCCATTCCTCACAGCATGGGTTTTTTACAGTATCCATCTCATCACCACAACATGGTTACTCAGCAATGACAGGTAAGTTTATTTCTAATATCATATTGTGCTGTAATATCTTTATTGTTGTCTACATAAACTATTCTTCATAAGCATCAGCTATTGGAGAGCTTGATTTTGTCAAAATGTTTGATTATAGTATATTGTGTATCTAGAAAGTAGTCAAAACAATACATTTCCAAATGATGGTGCAAATTGTTGCATATATTCTGAAATTGCATTCAACATTAGGTACTTAAAAGCCATCTTAAAAAAATACATGAAAACATACTTGACATCTACTATTAAATTATAATTAGAGAAACACCAAACATTTGAGTTGTACTTATTTTCCCAAACAGTACTAGAATAATATTCTCTGCCTAGGTTAAAAATAATATTCCCATACTGTTTTCTGAATGTTGCTTAGCATTACTGATTAGTGTTAAGGAATTGCATATTTTGCAGTCAGAAATTGCTCTGAGAATTAAATAATTCAGATTTTGGGAAAAATATTTTATTGTATGAAAGGAGAAATTCCCTATTTGCATAGTAGCCCACAAGGAATCTGTTTAGAGTTGATGTAGTGAGTTGGACTTTGGATTTTTTTTCCAGAACATTGCTGCTAACTATAGTTTGAATATACTCCAGCTGAGAAAGTTATGGCACATTAGCAAAAATTTTAGGGCTAAAAATTCCTTTCCTTCTTAAATATTGCACATTTCTTGCTACTATTAATTTTGTATGCAAAATCTGTTAGTAGTTTTCCATCTTCATTAATTTTATCATTTTTAATGTCTACCTTTGGGTTAATGTCTTTTTTGTTTTTCTGTTTTGTAAAGTGTTCTAACTCTACAAGATAATCCTATATATCCAGTTATGGGTGAAGAAACTCTTAAGGGGCTACACCACCATTTGAAGTAACAGATGCTAATGATGTTAATTTTCCACTTATTATCTTATACATATCTGTTAGTATCTCATCTCTTTACAAAATTCACAAAATTGAGAGTTGTGCTTTAATATATAACAATTTTTTTTGTTTTAAAAATAAGTTTTATTACATACAGTATATAAAATATAACTTTTTGAATTGCACATTTTCCAGCTATCCCTAATTGTTTTTTACATGATCTGTAAGATATGTAGTACAAAGAATTTTAAATCAACACAAAATATTGAATTTTGAATAAACATTCAACTTAAACTTTTTTTTCCAAAACTTCTAAAACAATTTTGAAGCAGGAAGATAGTGAGGTTACTTGAAAGCTAGGAAGAATCGGTGCATATGCCCATATTCACTGCTCAATTTGTTAAGAATAGCTGAATTTTTAACTTCACATAACTCAGAACGAAACAATTCAGCATTAGTAGTGCAAACTCAAAACATGTTCATGATATATTTTAAAAGTTATTTAGGACTTTTTGGAAGATATTTCTTTTAGAATGAAAATGCGAAATGATGAATGCAGAACTGCAGTAGAGAAAAAAAGGCAAGCTAGGCTTAAACAACTTCAAAGAAACACAAGAAATAGCAGAGAAATTTATAACGAAAAGAGAATACAAGCGATTAGAATATGCAGAAAAAAAAGAGGCTTTGAAAAAACAGACAAGTACAAGCAGAAATTCTATAGAAACAGAAGCACACGTCATTTAGACCAAAATTGACAATATGCAAAGCCAAGGACGGAGAACTACTAACAGAGAAACAAAAAATTATAATGAGATGGAAAGAATACTTTGAGGAAAACCTAAATGCAGACAATGGAAATGATCAAAACGAAACAGTATATTCTACGGCGGAGCAGCACATTGAAAATCCGAGTTATGAAGAAGTAGTTCAGATAATAAAGAAACTAAAAAACATTAAAGTGCCAGGAAGGGACGGAGTTTCGGCAGAATTATTGAAATATGGATGACCCAAACTCTGGGGAAGAATCCATTACCTGATAAAGTTGGTATAGACCAAGGAGCAAATGCCGGAGGAATGAGCAGTAGGTCTTATACAGCCAATATATAAAAAAGGAGATAAGAGGGAATGCCAGAATTACAGACCAATTACATTGCTAAATGTAATATACAAAATTCTTTCTGGCATTATCTACACTAGATTGTCAGAACATTCTGATTGAAATAGAGCCACTACACACAACATATTCATACTTAGAACAATAAAAGAGAAAGCTTATGAATATGACATACAACTATATACTATGTATATAGACTTTAAACAAGTTTTTGATAGTGTGAAAAGAGACAAAACTGGAAGACCTGAATCTAGGTATACCAAAATACATCAGCTCATAAAAATGATGTTGCAGGGTTAAAGCCGCAGTAGAGTGATGGAGAACTGCTCCTGTTTGACATCATGGGGGTGAGACAGGGGGACGCACTTACAACCATGCTGTTCAACCTAGTTCTTGAAGCAGTCATCAGAAAAAGCAATGTAACGGCCATATAAACACCAAAACAGTACAAATTACTGCATATGCAGACGATGTCACCATTATTCGTAGAAGCAAGGCACAACTAATGGTAACAAAATGAAGGAGGAGACGCATTACTAAATACAATAGATAAGCTGATAATAATGATATTATTATTATCGTGGTATATTATATGTATAGTGGTATTATTATATGATTACATAAAAAAGGAGACCAGTTAGAATGTGGAAACTAGCGTGGAATCACGTTGTTTCAGAATCCTATTATCACTTTTTAAGAGCAGTAACCATCAAAATTATGATTTCTATATGTTTCAGAATATATTTTAAAAGTTTTTAATAAAAAAATTGTAAAAGAGAAGAATTTGTTTTTTACAACATAAACTATAATAAAAATATACATTTTACACAAGATTATTGGCTTAATTTGAAGCCTAATACTGTAATAATTTCGTTCTTATAAAAGAAAAAAGATCTGTATGTACACATCAATCAAAACACTGCTGTTTTCTATTCCATATATAACATTATTTTTTTACAATTTTACAGTGTATACAGTTTTTTAAGTTTCGTTACATTCCAATTATTTTAAAGGTTAATTAAACTCATATCTAATATTAAGTACATGTATATGGGTTGCGTATGATGATATTTGTGCTAAAACTATCTCTGTATTTGCGTATAAATTTAGCCTACAAGGCTACAAAACATGGTTTACTAGAATATTCACAGACATAATGTATGTTTAGAAGAAAATGATTTTAGCACCTTATTTTCAACCTCATATTTTGAAGTTTCTGAATATAAAACCAAATATAAAAGTAAGTTATTCTATCTAGTTTTAGGTAATACTCCGTGCTCAGTCGTTTTTGGAATGATTTAATAAAAAATTGTAGCAATTAAAATCCACTTTCTTCTTCATCTGTACTTCTACAGTCGGTATTCGTCCTCCTTTTGATCATGTCCATATTTTCATATACAGGATCCGCTTCTGCTGCGTCTAAAGCAAAAAAGTTATTATTAATAATGTAGAAGACTGTACGATTTCACGACCGGTGTTACGTAATGTGTGTGTTTAGATTAATGGCCTTGGTTCAGACCGATTGGCCAGCTCAAAATTTTATTAAAATCATGGACATATAAACATAGATGGACACAGCAATAAGATACCTTTAACACACAATGTTTTGAAGCTTCGATAGAATGTGATGCTTCCGCAATGAGCATAAGCGTGCTTGAATTTTTACTCGCGGGTAATTATTCAGATTTTAAAAATTGGAAGTAGTAATAATGTATAAAACCACCATGGTGGTTCCATCTCACCAGATGGAACCACAACCAATCAAATTGACCATGTGATGATAGACAAAAGGCAGCCAGTAGTATCTCTGATGTGAGAACACGACGAGGAGCATGCTGTGGATCAGACCATCTTTTACTGCAAACCAAATTTAGGTGCAGAGTTAACAGAGAAAGAAACGAAAGACAACAAAGAACAAACAAACTAGACCTGGAAAAACTGAAGACTCAGGAATGTAGAGAGAAGTTCGAGCAAGAAGTCACAAATGAGCTAAGGACACAAGAACTGCACTCCATAGAGAGCAAATGGAATAATATCAAAACAGCAGTGCTGACAGCAGCAGCGTCCACCGTGGGAAACAAGAAAAAGAAGAGAAGAGGAACATGGTTTGATGACGAGTGCAGGCAAGCGATAGAAGAAAGAAACGAAGCGCACAAAATGTACATAACAAGAAGAACACGGGAAAGACGAACATCATTTGAAGTCGCAAGACGGAAAGCAGACAAGATATGCAGAAACAAAAAGAGAGCTTATGAAAATGGACAAATAGAAGAAATGGAACAAAATTTCAAAAAAAAACGAAATTAGAGGAGCTTACGAATACCTAAAAAAGATAAAAAGTGGATATAAACCTCAAACAAGCCTATGCAAAGATGAAAGTGGGCAAATAATCAGTGACCAACAGAAAGTCACAGAAACCTGGAAGCATTATTTTCAGACCCTACTTGGAACACAAGTAGATATGGAAGATGAAATGGGTACGAACCATGTAGAAGAGAACGAAGTTGAAGTAGAAGCTCCAACCATAGAGGAAGTTCTCGAAGCTATTAAGGCCCAGAAAAACAATAAAGCCCCGGGAGTTGACGAGATTCCAGCAGAACTGTATAAGGTAGGTGGCAACCACCTATCAAGTCATATCCACGCGCTTATCAAAGAAATATGGCAAGAAGAGAAAATACCCGACGAATGGAAGAAAAGTATAGTATGCCCAATCTATAAAAAAGGAGACAAACTCCAATGCAAAAACTACCGTGGAATTTCTCTACTATGTACAGCGTATAAAGTCCTCACGTATATTATAAACCAGCGACTCCAACCACTAGCAGAAAATATTATTGGAGAATATCAGACGGGCTTCAGACGGGGAAGATCGACAATGGATCAAATATTTACAGTCAAGCAGGTCTTGAGCAAATCGTGGGAACACGACATTGATGTTCACAACGTGTTTGTAGACTTCAAACAGGCATACGATTCAGTCAAAAGGGACAGACTATACTATATATTGGCAGAATTAGCAATACCACATAAGCTAATTAGACTCATTAAAGCCACAATGGATGAAACTCAGGCATGTGTACGAATACAAAACAACCGGACAGACTTTTTCAAAATCTCGCAGGGACTAAAGCAGGGAGATGGGCTGGCACCAACATTGTTTAACCTGGCACTGGAGTATGCGGTTAGGCAAATGCAAACTGGACGAGAAAACCTACTGACCAATAAAACGGTTCAACTGGCTGCCTACGCCGATGATATTAATATTATGAGTAGAACATCAACAGGAGCACAGGAAGCATACGCAGAGTTAAAAACACAAACGAAAAGGCTAGGTCTGGAAATTAACACAGAAAAAACAAAAATAATGGTACAGACGAGAAGAAATATAATCCCACAAAACATTATACATGAAGATGACATTGAAACGGTTGGAAAGTTTACATACCTGGGAGTAGAAATATATGCCGATGGAGCAGAGGATGGAGAAATACGAAAAAGGATAACGCAGGCAAACAAAGCTTATTTTGCCCTCTCCCATATATTTCGGTCTAAAAGTGTCCACCGAAATACAAAGATGAGAATCTATAAAACTTTAATTCGGCCAATAGCATGTTATGGCAGCGAAGCATGGGTCCTGAAAGAAACATCCAAAAACAAACTCGACACATTCGAAAGAAAAGTACTGAGGAGAATACTAGGACCTGTGAGGGAAAACGGAATCTTCAGAATTCGATATAACAACGAGCTCTATCAACTGTATAAGGAAACACCCCTGTCAGACTTCATTAGAATACAAAGATTGCAATGGGCCGGACATGTGATACGAATGGGAGAGGATAGGCTACCAAAACGAGCACTGAACGCCAGAATGCAGGGAAAGAGACCAGTTGGAAAGCCAAGAAAGCGCTGGGAAGACACAGTAAGCAGCGACGCACAAGCACTTTTAGGAGTCCGTGTATGGAGAAGAGCAGCCACAGACAGACAAGGGTGGAGGCAAAAAATAAAGGAGGCCAAGGCTCATTTTGGGCTGTAGTGCCGTAGAAGAAGAAGAAGAAGAATAATGTATAAAAACACGTTCAAAAAATTAAAAAAAAAAAAACGAGAGTTTAACTATTAACAAATCACGTCTTTATAGAAAAATTAAAATACAATTTTATTTGCTTTAAAATTAATACAATTAAATATAGTTGAATTCAAGTTAATTTTTTAATAGGTATCAAAATAATGCTACAATAAAAAATCTTTATGTTTTCTCCTAAATTTGCTACCCAAATAGTTCGATCGTCAATATTATTTGGAAACCTACATAGAAAAATAAATGAGTTTTATTCATTTCACTAATTTATTTGTATCCATGAGAAATATTAAATTAAAAAGGTACTAAACAGATCTTTTTTATCAGATGATGTCTACTTACAATTTAAAAATGTCTACTAATTTCATGAACTCATATCTTATTCAATACATTAATGAACATGAATAAACCCAATGGTACGCCTATTAAAATGTAAACAAACACGCTTCCTCATTTCCTCATCTTAAATAATGTAAATTGTATGTACTTACAAATGAAATGAGAGATCGGGATGTAAATATTTCGTTTATTTTATTTCACTTTTCACAAATATCACTCAAAATACAGCCAAAATATCGAAAAACAACTTTTCCTCATCTACTGTAAAAAGTAAACAAACATGGAACAGCATTTGAAGTTTGACGTAGATCCATAAGACAGAGAAATGTAAACAACCGTTGCCATTTATAAATAGTTTTCAGTGCTTCTACATATAAAATAATTGATTGATATCTATTATACGCTATTATTAAATGATAATGCACACTATGTGCACACTTGATATTTTGATTACAATTAAATATATTAATCTAACCAATAAATTATTATTTTGGTTTGATAGCACCTGTAGAGTATAAAATACGGAGTAATATTTTCAGCGACTCGCGAATAAGAAATTTTAAAACAAAACGTGACAACAGTTGAAGGTGCTGAGAATGTGACCTATTCAAATAATTTTGACTACACAATTTTATGTAAATAACTGAGTCCATCTGTGTTTATATGTCCATGATTAAAATTATCAATTCCATAGTTACAATTTCCTAGATTTAGCTGAAATGAATACTATTCATCTATTCCAAGTGTATCGTCCGCGAACAAATTTTTATTGCTATGTACAAAATACAAAATCAAGAATTGAATGATCATTAGTAGGAGGTAGTATTTTGATATTTTCGTACAAATATCACAAAATTAGAGATCACTTTTTTGAGAAAGATGCTACGTGAATAAATTAAAACAAGTTTAATGGACATATATTTTAGATAAATAAATTTATAACAACCACGTATCTAGTGCTAGAACGTAAGTTAAGTCTGCTACAGACTTATGCCTATTAAAATTTGATTAGCATATGTCAAAAAAGTTAAAAGCTTTTAAAAAAATTTTTCACTAATTGGGTGGATCACTATAGGAATCAAATGAGTAATTATGTTTAATAAAATATTGAGAGAAATAATTACCTGGTGTGGCTGGCCTGTCTATATGGTCCGCAAGTAGCCGATGTACATATATGTATTGTTCCTGAAAATATTATTGTCAATGTATTTGTGATCTAAACGTCTGGAAGGATTTTGGATCATTCACAACATTCACATCATTTTCTAAAATTTTATCTAAATATTAATGGATATTAATAATAAATCAAACAAATTCTGTTCTCACCAAAACTGTTTGAAAAAAAATTAAGAATTTTTTGAGTTGTAATTCCTTTTTTCCTGTATCAAATTTTTACAGCTTACTAAAAATCTTAAATCGACCCAGATAGACGCACAAGACCTAAATATCATCGTTGAAATATATTAATATCACAAATCAACAATCAGAATTAAGAGACAGAGTTAATAAAAAAGAGTGTGTATGTGGTGAGTTTACTGGAAACTAAAGAGGAAAGCATAAGATGGCTTTTGAATGCTTAGTTTCCTATTTATTATTAAGAGATGAAGTATGGCCTGAACTACATCACATCACCAAGAATATCAAAGAATCTAGAGAGAAAATCTTCACAGGCAATATAATCGAATGGGCTATCAGTAGTTTTAAGCCCTACAAAGTATTCTGGAGACGATGGTATCTTTCCAGCTCTGCTACAGCAGGGAATATATATCCTACTGTATCATCTAGGAAAAATATTCAAAATGAGTTTCATCTTATGCTATATTCCAAAAACAAGTTAGCGTCTGCTTTATTCCTAAGAGTGGCAAAGCCTCTTCAGTGGATAACAATAACACCAGCTTTTCGAACAAATATTATAGGCAAATATATCAAAAACAACAGCAGCCAAATAAAAAATACTTACATAGTGGTATGTACAAACTTTAATGTGGCGACTGCCCAAAAACTTACATCGGTCAAACTGGTAGAAACTTCAATAAACGAATAGCAGAACATAAAAGGGCTTTTAATAATAGAAAAACAGATTCTACATACGCACTTCACCTTCTAGATCACAATCATTCTTTTAATGGCGAATTTAAAATTCTTCACATTCAAAATAAAGGCCTTGTTAGAATCTATGGAAATCAACAAATTAAAAAACACAGATATAATTCTGAATGACCAACTTGAGACAAACAGTTCTCCCCTCCTCAACCTATTCCATTAGAGACTATAAATTGTAAACGCATGCCAAAAATAGATAACTTGAGAAAGGCAATCAGCCGAAACAGCTGTAGTGATAAGAAGTTAAAATAAATTTTGTGGAAGTTTGAAAACAAAGTTTTCAGTGTTTTATTGTTACATAAAATGAATTTCCATCAAGTTACGGTCGAATCCATTAATTATCTTATAGGTTGTTGTGTGGAAAGGTCTTCTAGACCAATCGGCTCGTTCGAAATCTACAATCTACAAGGTATGCTTAACGACACTCTCGAAAAGCATAAAAATCAGTGGTAGTTGCGGTGATGATACGAAAGTATTTTACCAGAACATCAATCTCTCATATACTGCCTAGTAGAGCAAAGATAAAGATATCCATATTAATCAATAAATGACTTACGATAACTGAATTAATTAAATCGATAAATGAATTGAGTATGTTAGGTGAGATCAAAAGTATAACTGCTAGTAACTATAATAGCTTCCTGGTAAAGTTTAACCATAGCCTACTCAGTCATAAATATATGAGCAATAACTATATACACAATAAAATCGATAAAAAAAATTACCTCAGTTTGCACCATCATACATCTTTGTTTTCTTAGATCTAATACTGTTTTATATACATCCAGGGGTTTCCTAGCAGCGGCGGTCTGCAAGAGAATGTCTGCGGCGATGAGAGTACCAGTTCTGCCCACGCCAGCGCTGTAAATCAAGGTTTTGTTTTAATTTTAGGTTAGAAAATTTACCTCGCCAATAAAAATTTGTTAAAGGTGGATACTGAATTGTATGGATTGGATAGGTATATGGTAATGTTTATAAAATAAACTCCTGGATAAGATTAACGCACCACTTTAATTAATCTATTATTTATAACGACTATTATTAAGCTTACATAACAACTGTCACTGTCAAATAAGGTCCATAGCAACTTGTCGTACAGTAAATTATCGAAAAATATGAGTGGTACGTTAATTTTGTCCAGGAGTTATATATATATATATATATATATATATATATATATATATATATTATATATATATATATTATATATATATATATATAGTAATATGTTTCTTCTCAAACCCTTCTTTCAGTCGAAACGTATTTTTAAATTTTAGACACTTCGAGAATTGTTGCATGCAATTCGGCACAAATCTGACAGCTGCCAGGATTGTCTTAGCCAAATGTGCACTTGTTAGTTATGAAAATAAACTGCTATTTTATTGCTATTGCAAAAAAACAAAGCTTGTATTTTTACTTACTTTTGTATAAACTATTGTAAATCGGTTTATTGGAAAATAATCGGTATTTCAATTTTAATTACGTAAGAGAATCAACAATAACGTTACATCTGCTTTTAAAAATTTTGATTAGAATTTCAGTTACTTCCAATTTGCCAGTGACATTTTTACGGAATGTGTATAAAAACTAGGAAGAGATTTTGGTTTTCTTTTTCAATGGGAGAGAGGAAAAGTTGAGGGATTTTCCTGTTCAAAAGGTTTCTGAAAACAGTTCATTCGTCTTTGTAACCAAATGTCAAAGGTAGATACGTTATTATTATTATTGGCAGTGAAAGATGAAAGATCCCTGTTAGTAAACATGTGCTTAATCTTGATAAAACTTTTGGTCTCGCCTTTTCAATTCTGGATTTGATCTCTGCTGTCATATTTCATTGATTATATGTTAACCATTAAACATGTTAACAATGAAGAGAAAAGAATTGAAAAAACAGCGAAAAATAATAAAATAAAACTTAGGAAATAAGGAAATAAAAAGGCAAGAGAAGTATCGAATAGTTATATACATTTTTGTAGAAATAAAAAAATGGCCGTTTTTGGGAATATAGCAGATAAACTGTGAATAATTCATTTTAAAAGGATAGCTAATTTAAAAAATGAGATGGTTGAGGCACGCGATACCAAAGTAAAGAAAGGCTTTAAGAGAAGAAAAGAATGGATAGACCTAGTCTAATATTAATGTGACTTGCCTATTGGTTTTTCTGCTATGGTATTCTGATGTATACTCATAGTTATGTCATTATGATAATTTGGAAAGTTTGTTTAGCTTCTTTTCACACCTTAACAGCACTCTTAACATCAATACCCTTATTTATTTATGTTATTGTTCAGAATATTTTGGCATATTTGAATTATTTCAAAAAACAGATACAACAACAAATAAATTTTTCCAGGTTAAAATTACTACGCCGATCCTAGAAAAATATTCGGATAACTTTGGTATTTCGCAGTTAGTCGGCATTATGATGTCAGTCGCTTACGTAACGAAACTCCTTATCTGCTTGGTATAGTTAAATGTCAATCAATAAAATAACTGTCCATAAATATGCTTTCTGAATATACCAATATGTTTATTCTCTTCGAGAAATAATCACGGATATACAGTTTTTGTCTCTATCTAATACAAGCATTCGAAAGACATGGGACACTAAAAAAAGGCTGGGAAGGACCATATCATATATGTTTATGATAGTTATTGTGTCGATAATATCCTATGCTAATGAACTTTTATATGTCATATATCATATCTGATTACACCTTAATACTTGTTAAACTCTTTGTTGTAAATTTAGACCAATACTGATTTTATGTATTTATATTTCATCAGTAACATTGCTTGAATTGCGAGAAACGCTGCTCTAAGAAAAATATTTATCCTTATAACAAGCGACTCAAAAGTGATATTTGAGATTACACCTTCTGTTTCAATGTAAGAAGTATGAAAATAAAAGATGTAATGTGCAAACAATAACTTTATTATTGAACTTACAAAAACTGCTATTGCATTATTTGGAAGACGCATTATAAAAACAATATGCAATACAAACAGAGTTTCCTAAATATTCATCATTGGAACTAACGCAAGAAAGACGTTATGAACAGAGAAATCATCAATTACAAAATGAATTTCTTTATTTTTCAGTATTTGATATTACTACCCTACTCCTAATTACACTTTCCAATCGATTTCGCATGGATCGGATGACTTTTCTAATAAATTCTTTAGGCATTGCTTCCATACATCATTAAGCGCAGCTCTTAAGTCCATTATGCTCCTTGGTGCATGATTTCTGTCCCGGACCTTTATTTTAAGCTCATCCCAAACATGCTCTCAGGATTTATGTCCGGGTTCAACGCAGGCCAATTTATTGTAGGTATACCGATCTCAGTCAGATAGTTGGTGGTGACTCGTGCGGAATGGCATCGTGTATTATTCTGCATTAAAATAAAGGCATCACCAATAAATCCCGCGTATGGAACCACATGTTCCTCCAAAATGTCTCTGATGTAACGATCCCCGTTAAACCTCCTCCACCATGCACGAAAACCAACTCGTTTTCCCATCCATGGAAATGCCTGCCCAAAACATACAAGAACCGCCTCCATATGACACAATTTCTCGTATACAACATTGAGCAAATCGCTTTCCTGGCCTTCTATAGACTCGACGCTCTTGTCGTTGCCATGTACGCAGATCCTACTTTCGTCGGACAATAATACCTGAATTTATTGATAGTCGTCCCAATCCAGATGTTCGCGAGCAAAATCTAATCGCCTTTGCTTCTGGCTGCAGTTAGCTTGGGACCCGTAGCTGCCTTTTTGGTGTCAAGTTGGCTACCTTCAGTCTCCTTCTGACTGTCCAAACGCTGGTAACCACACCTCGGACCTCTCTAAGCTTTTCTTTGCGATTAGCACCAGTCAAATGTCGATTTCTCAGGATTTCGATACAAGAAATCTATCATCTCTCTCCGTTGTTATTCGTTTATCCCTCCTCCTTGTCGGCGGACATAATCACAAGTATCTTGGTACCGACGATACACTCGGGACACAGCAGATTTTCTTAAATTTAGTCGATTTGCCACGGCCCTCTGGCTCATGCCTTCTCTCAATAATGCTACTGCTTGATCTACTTGTTCGGATGTGGTATCCATTTGTAATGCAGTTGCGAACTTAACTGACTGATGTATTAGTGGGTTGCTATGGAAATTGATGCGTACGATGTTAACCGAACGCGTTAAGTCGGTGCGTGTCGATTTCAATGAGTCAAATTCTGACCCCTCTCTACGTGTTGCATTATTTCTTTGTAATATGTCATCCGATTCACCAAAAAACAAAACTTTTTTAAAACTCAATAATGAGGTTAATGATTGTACACTAAATATTTTTGAATTTACACTTTTTAGATTGAAACAGGAGACGTACGTTCACAAAATAATTTTGAGTCAATTATTTTGCACTCGAGTGTAGTATACCAAATGCCTTTAATTCCCAAATTTTTGTTGGTGTTGACTTGCTTTGAATACTTAATAATTTTAGATTATTTATTTGTACTATTCTTAACATTTTGCATAGACATACGGCCAAATATGTTACTAATTGGAAGACGACAAAACTCTTTAAGATAAATAGCAGGGATGGCCTTGATAGTTCGAGCCATTTTTCAAAATATCGAAATTCTAGTCGCAATTTAATTCGTATTAAAAAAGTCTGCAAAAAAAGTCATGTTAATTTTAAGATGGACTCAGAAAAAATCAAGAGATTATTTTTAAAGTATTTCAAGTCTTGAAATCTATTTTGGAATCTTCAGAAATAATAAGACGGGATGGAACATCGTCTATTTCGAAATTACAACACGTCGTCTAACCACCTTCTGACTAACAGATATAGCGTTATAGTTTTTATTCTGTTGAAGAAGAGTCCCATTCTGGGTTTTTTGCTTTTCCACTGTATGAACAATACTGTTTTTTTTTTCGTCTGAACACGCACATCAAAACAAGATATTTCTGTGCTTATAAGTATACCCTAACTAGTGTGACTTTGTATACGCTAACTATTTTGTATTTTTACATGTGGAAGACAATTATACTATCTTAAGAGTATCTATTGTATCTCGTCAGGCATTAATGACGCCTTGCAAACACCCGCGGCCTGTACGGTACGGTAAATACTTGAATTATGAATCATTTTTGGCCTATGTCCCACAATCTTATTTTCATTTTAACACGTATACTGCCATGTATTATTTATTTAGTATTATTGTAAATATATTTTATTTTTACGATTGTTACCTTCAAAGCAACGATGGGTATGTTCTTTTTGTTCCTATTTTTGATGTATTTTATACAATAGATGTAGACTTATTTAAGAAATAAATTTGTAGGTAAATTTGACCTTTATGTTATTTGTAAATTAAATCTGTCTAATTGTATCTCTGACACTATTTGCTACGATGATAAAATTAAAATATAAAATAATGGTGTCCCAAAATTCACTGATCATTTAAATTTGGCATCGCGTTGTAATGTAAAGTGTTCTTCTTCTTCTATGGGACTACAGCCCAAATTGAGCCTTGGCTTCCTTTATTTTTTGCCTCCACCCTTGCGTGTCTGTGGCTGATCTTCTCCATAACGACTCCTAATAGGGCTTGTGTATTGCTGTTTACTGTGTCTTCCCAGCGCTTTCTTAGCTTTCTAACCGGTCTCTTTCCCTGCATTCTAGCATTCAGTGCTCTTTTTGGTAGCCTATCCTCTCCCATTCTTATTACCTGTCCGGCTCATTGCAATCTTTGTATTCTAATGAAGCCTTACAGAGGTGCTTCCTTATAAAGTTGATAAAGCTCGTTTTTGTATCGACTTCTGAAGATTCCGTTTTCCCTCACAGGTCCTAGTATTCTCCTTAGTACTTTCCTTTCGAATGTATCGAGTTTGCTTTTGATGTTTCTTTCAGGACCCATGCTTCACTGCCATAGCATGCTTTGGTCAAATTAAGATTTTACAGATTCTCATCTTTGTATTTCGGTGAACATTTTTTGACCGAAATATATGGAAGAGGGCAAAATAAGCTCTGTTTGCCTGCGTTATTCTCTTCCGTATTTCTCTATCTTCTAATCATATAGTAAAGCATAGTAAAGTGTTACCAACTAAAATAAAGGCAGCTTTTTATTTATAACGGGTGTCTTATGAAATTATTATGAAAATTATTATTTGTGTGGATTTTGGGACTTTCATTATCTCTACAATTATTGGTCGTATAGAAGATATGTCTAAACTGAACATTTGACATATGGTTTTAAATAATTCTCTGTTGATTTTAAATATTTAATAAACAATTTTTACCTGCAATGTACGATCATTATTCCACCTTCCATCCTGATCCTTTCTCTCAACTTGTGGCAGAATTGAAGCATGTGCTCAGTGCCCGCAGGGACTCGAAAATCTGGCCATTCCAGGAATTGCATGTGTGTGACAGTGACTTGTGTTAAATCCTAAAAAGTATTAAATATGTAAAATTTAAGAATTCAATTTTATACGACTGCAATTAGCGTATACTATTAGGAAATCCAATTACAACGATAAAGAAAAAACCACAATTTAGATGGGCAGATAACATAAAACATCATTTTATCCCAAGTCACTAAAGAGTGACTTTATTTTCTGATTATATAAATAGATCAGAAAATATATGGACAACATTGGCTTACGAGTTATGAGGTTGAGAATACCTTTGGCGATAAATATTGTAAAAGAAGAGGCTTTGGTAATTCAGCGAAACAAAATTCTCCACAAGATTGCTAAGATAAGTAAGTTAAAACATTGCAGCACTTTCGAACTGAAACCTTTTAGAAGTCATCTCTTTAATTGTTTCCTAAGACTATTCTTATTCAGGTTTAAACACAGTTTAATAATTATTACCACTGGTGTTGGCTGTGCAGTAACCACTACAAATGAACTTGTAAGATCATCTTGGTTACACTTAACATACAGCGTTTACACAGGTGAACTATATAGTATTATGTTGGCTGTTATATACATCTCCATCAAAACAGACATATTGCCATTTGTTCAGATTCCCTTTCATCTATCCATTCAGTCAATACAATTTTCACTGACCACCCATTAGTTCAAAACATTCATGACATATACCAAAATCTCTCTGCTCACGATGTAACAGTCTCTCTCATATGGCTGCCTTCTCATACTGGAATTACTGGTAATGAAACAGCAGATCATTTTGCTAAGGAAATATTTAACAACCCTAAAGAGATTACAAAAACTATACAGTTTCTAAAAACTCCTAAACTCTACCATAAGATTTAACCTAATAAACATTAGTTGCAGTAATATAATTATTATTTGTTTTCATTATTTATTATATCTTCTTCTTTGGGTGCCGTCTTCAATGAGGTTGGCGATAACCTCAGCAAAATCATTTCTGTCCCTGGCTTTTCTTATTAAAGATTGAGAATCCAAACCAGTCCACTCACGAATGTTCTTCAACCAGGACGCCTGCCGTCTACCAGGACCACGTTTTCCTTCTACCTTCCCCTCTATATAGAAGCTGCAGTAGCTGGTATTTCTCATTTCTGTATATGTGTCCCAAATATGAGGTTTTCCGTGTTTTCATTATTTTTAAGAGTTCTCTGTCGGTACCCATCTTGTGTAGGACCTGCTCGTTGCTCATATGCGCTGTCCAGGGACTTTCAGCATCCTTCGAAATAACCACATTTCAAAACTTTCCAAACGCCTGAGTGAGTTGATTTTGAAGTCCAGTTTATTATATATTTAATATTATTGTTTCTGTACCAATGGTCATAGTTTTCGAGGTCGAGGCCTTTGTAAATAAAAAATTATAATTATTCTATTTCTTACCTTTCTAATTTGTAAGTTTCTTACAACATATGTACCGAAGTGTAGTTCTGTAGCACATCTTATTTCCATATTATCGCCTACTATAAGGTTCTCGTGGTTTTCCGGGAAGTACTTGTGACATTTTACCTAAAAGTAATAAGAACAAAATCAGCATTCCAAATGTAAATTAGAATAAAATAGATGAAAATTTTTCTCCATACGAATGAATATGCACTTTTCTGGATACTCTGGATTGTAATTTCAAGGCTTCAGTTAGTGTTGTCTTCGTTTAGGCAAAAGTTTGTGATTGGGAGTGTAATGGTTGTGTAGTTTGAATAGATAAAAGGCCTAGTATATACTGTACAGGGTGGCCGTTGGCATATGTTGAACTATGTAGTGCCATTAATGCATGGAGAATTCGGTGTTCTCCATCTACTATTCTTCCCACTGTGAGAAATTAAAAACTAATATTATGCGTGAAGATGAGCGTAAGGCAAGTGAGTTTGCTGTCTCCTGTGGTGGTATACAGATTTTAAAATAGTTTCCGATGGTTTACATGAAATAGATTCCGGCACATCGTAATGGGCGATAAAATCTATAATTACTACCGTCTCTAGTAATCTAGTCGATTCCTGATGTTTTTCATACCTGTACAACTTAAGACAGAATTGATAACTAGCTGTCCAAACTTGGTTTGGGAATTAAAATTATCTGGACAAATGAACTTTAAAATAAGAGTCTCAATTGATTGGTCTTCATTAATACTACAGATTACACCTTACTTTTTATTAATTCGATAGAAACAATAGAAAACGATGAGAAAAATGATGACATTATCCTGACAATAATAGACTTTTACTAAATTATTTAAATGAATTTAAAGATTAATCGTTTCTGAAATATTGGGTTAAAACTTATTTACCTTATTTTTTTCGACAAAATTTGCCACCATAACTATTATTGTAACATTTTCTTGAAGAACTAGCTTCCAAAAGTCCCTACAAGTTGTCGCAAGTGGTCCTTGTGTGGCAATGTACTCAATATCTCCCGAGTATCCCTAAAAATAGTTTATTATAAGTTAGGAAACGTTTATAAAAGAAAGGGTAAACAATTGACGTACAACAGATACAAATATATATATAGATCTTGAAGAATTTGGTGAAGACTACTACAATATGTAAGACATAAATCTCTAGTTGAAATGTATTAAAATAGGAATTCTATGTGTTTCTTTTTTATAGTTAACTGGTATATTTAGTAGTATTTACCTTGACGTATGAGGCGTTTATATAATCAGATCCAATTTCATCATCTTCGTCAATTAGAAGTTTAACTCTTGATTCATCAACTACAAAATAGTTTATCAATTATTAAAAAGAATACTGTATATAGGTAAGTATTAGAAACTATGTGAGAAATAATTGAATCACGTATTTCAGAAACCCCAAAAATCACAAATTTATGAAATTACAGTTTTCTGTAATTTTTGGTAGTATATAGGTATACGCACTTAACAGTAAACAGAAACCCCAAAACTCACTAAATTTACATACATTTGTTGCCAGATGAAAATTTCATGTATTGCAGAAACACCAAAACTCCAGGAATTTTGGTGTTTCTAAAATATAATATTTGAACACACTGATTTTTGACATGACAGGTTTTTGTTTTTGAGGTTATGCACATTATTTATTTGTGATCTCTACATATGGTTAGTTGTTATTACAGTAAAAATTAATAATAATTTAAGTAATGGAAATTGAAAATCAGTCTTCAACGCGCAAAAAAAAGCGTGGAATACGTAATATCAGTGAATATAAAAGAGAAGTTATTAAAAACTCTAGAGTTAAAGGGTCTGCCTATAAACGCTGGAGTGGTGTCTTGGCGCCTGAAGTGAACCAAGGACCAGACTGCAAGTAAGCCTTAAAACTTTAAAATATTACTAACTAGCTAGACAATATCTAATATTTTATTATCGTAATTTGAATGATACTTATTTTTAGATGTCGCCAAAAATGCTTTTTACAAATTTCTGAAGAAGCACGCATTCAATTATTCCGAAACTTCAGGAGCCTTAACACCAAGAACGAACAAGATTGTTTGCTACAATCGCTTATTTCAGTCCATGAAGTTGCACGTCGAAGGCGCAAAAAACCAGCTGATATTTCTTGCAAGCCTGATAGACTAGCTTCTTTTAAATATACAATTCAGGGACCAACAGGTACAAATAAAATCTGTAGAAAAGCTTTTATTGCCATTTTTGGCATTACTAATGATCGGTTGCGTCGCTTAACCACGTTAAGACGAGAGGGGCAAGTTCCTATAGATAAACGAGGTAAAAATAAATCTGGCAATGCGAAGTCAGGACTTGTTATAGATTCAATCATACAACATATTGCTTCGTTTCCGGTCAAAACGGCCCATTATACTAGTAGAGAATATAGGTATCTAAATGAAAAATTAAATATTTTTATAATGTATAAGTTGTTTAAAGAGGTTCACCCAGAACAAAACGTTAAATATTCATATTATCAAAAGATTTTTAAAGAACAATTTTCATTATCTTTCGGTCGCCCACAAGTCGACACCTGCTCTACATGTGAAGAGTTAGAAACTAAAATAAAAAGTAAATTCTTAAATGAAACAGCAAAAAGAGTGGCACTGGCAGAAAAAATGGTTCATAAGAAACGGGCAAACAAATTTTATAACAAACTTAAAACCATTTCAGAACTTTGTAAAGTAGATGAGAATGTAGGTGGTATTTGCATTGATTATATGCAAAACCTGCAACTACCAGTTATTCCTGTCCAGGAAACATTCTATTTAAGACAACTTACTGTTAATGTTTTATGTATTCATAATCTGAAAGATGATAAGGTAACATTCTATGTGTATCATGAGGGAACAGGAACTAAAGGGCCTAATGAAGTTGTATCATTTTTATTACATTTTCTTGACAACAATCCAGAATTTAAAAATATTAACCATTTTCACTTCTTTTCTGATGCATGTGCCGCCCAGAACAAGAACCATACAATAGTTAGACTTTTTTCTGCATTAGTTTCAACCAATAGATTCAAAAAGATTGAACAATATTATCCCACACGGGGACATTCATTTCTACCGTGTGATCGGGATTTTTCCGTTCTTAAAAGGAAAATTAAAAAATCAGACAGGATTTATACCTTAAAAGAGTATGTAGAGCTTATCATAACATCTAACAAGAGTTTAAACCGATTTACTGTAGTTTTGCCGAATTCTGATGACATATTGAACTTTAAAGGATGGTGGCCCACGTATTTTAAAAAGACAATGCTCTCCAATGAATCTTTGGGCAGAAATATCCCAAGAGATCAAAAAATTGCTTTTAAAATATCCAACTTTCGACACTTTATTCATTCGAGTGATCACGATGGAATTGTTATTGCAAAAGAGTACATAGATGGCTTGATACATCATTCTTTTCGGCTACGAAATAGCAACAAGGATGTTATTAGTTTCCCTACCAGAAAAGCGTACACCGAAGGACATATTCCTATTAATATCAAGAAGATGCAAGACTTGAGAAAACTGGAAAAGTATCTACCAGATAATGAAGAAGTCAAGGACTTTTACGGAGAAATTTTTAATTTGCCAACATGCGAGGGAGATTCAAATGAAATAATACAACCAGATGAGTGATTACTACTGATATATTATTCTGTATGCCCATATTTTTGAATAAATGTTTATATAAAACTTGTTTTCTTATTTTTACATCTTTGAAAAATGTGTATATTTCAAAAACCCCAAAAATCCACAAAAGTAAAAAAGGAAAAAAAAACATAATATAAAGCTAAAATTCACCACTTTTTATGCAAACTGATTAAAACACATTAATCTCATGATTTTATTACAAAAGCACAACAGGTTTTTAAAAATATTTCATGAAATAAGGTTTTTTCTAATTTCTCAACATTTTATAAAAATGGAGTTATGGGTTTCTGAAATATGTGATTCAATTTTTATGAATTCTTTAGGAAATGCCCACAATTATATTAGATGTTATTCGTCTATTACCAGCTACCATGATTCTATCGTCGGACACTCTCGGTCACTGATCAATTGGTCCTTCAATCACATCTCTCAATCCGATCCACACGGGATTAGCTTCCTGGCATGGATATTCCTTTACTCCTGCAGACAATAGATTTTCAGGGATAAAATATGCCGCATTTCCAGATAGAAGCCAGAAGTACTGCTCGTATTTTGAAGACGTACTATTCACATTTATTTACTACTACTACTAAGGATTTCCACAGTTTTCACTGTCTTCCTTCACTCAACCGTTTTCTCCAATTTTCCCTGTCATTCCAGTCTCCATCTCGCAGGGTTCTTTTCTCCATAGCCTCGTCGATTTCATCTCTGAATGACCTACGGGGTCTTCCTCTCTTTCTTCTTCCGATCGGGCTCCATTCTGTAATTTTGTTTATCCAGCGTCCTCTGTCCGCTCTTCTGACGTGGCCGTACCAGGATAGTCTCTTCTCCTCTATATAGTCGATTATGTCTGATTGCACTCCCATTCTCCGCTTAATCTACAGCTTCTCCTCAGGAACTCCATTTCTACTGCTCTTATTCTACCTCTATTTCTCTTGTTTATTGTCCAGTTTTCGGACCCATATGTCAGGATACTTCTTGTCAGGGTATTATATATTCTCTTTTTTGTATTTATTTGCATTTTGCATTGCATTTATTTATCTGTTGTAAATTCCACTTGTGGAAAACACAATCATTTTAAAACATTCTCGGGACTGAGTCTAGAAAGAGATTCTCGTTTACGAGCAACTACGAAATCTGGCGATAGTTTGTGTCCTTCAAATAGGCAATAAATATCTCTACGCAGTACACTACCCTCACATCTGGTGTTTTCCAGTCACGCAGATATCAACAATGCCATAGATACCAGTAGTACCATCAGGTCTATCCCAAAAGACGATGCTCCTCTTCGAGCGACTAAAGCGGTAAGCGGTACCGAACATTTTACGTCCTGGACACTCAGGGACAATTTTAATATACCTTGCACTAAATTAGATTCGATGTGTTTTCAATTGGACTTCAAGAAATCAGGGAAATTTGTTGCCTATGAAGTGGTTGATATCTTGGGCGTTTGAGCTGTGTTGTAGAGTTAGTACATGTTGTTTGAAACGGAAGCGATAAGAGCCATAGTCTGAAGATTTTTAAGCAACTGTTTCTCAAAAGGCTCTCTCTTATGGCTCCATGTACTACACTCTGTTAATTGCATAATTCTGCAGACTAAACTAAGTGAGGATAGCCAGATATGCCGAGAAAATTGAACACGGGCGAGAAGCAAAAACTTTTATGGGGATGAATTTGATTACAAATAGCAGAGTGGAACCCACAGAAAGGTGTTCGTACAGCGATGCGGAAAGCAAAGAAAAACTACAGCACTATATTTCTCAATAAAAATAAAATTATAGTGTATAAAGTTATAAATGAAAAATCCCTTAGTTCGTAGCTGACCTTAAATGATCAGAGGGTACTAAGAATACCTATGACAGCAAATATCAAGGCTGAAAATAAAGTTAATATCTTAGGTATAAGTGAAACAATTAGTATATAAGTGTATAGTACAATTTTTTACGTACGGTTACACGTATAAATACAATCTTATTCCTAATATATTAAATAATATACTTGTCACCCCTACCCTTCAAGAAACTAGCAAAAGATATATCCGGTTAGCTGAACCCTGCCAGGCAGCGGACTGGGTCGAAGTTCTTTTACTACCTTCTTCTACCCCTCGGCTAAGAAAGTTTTATCTTCGGAAAAGACAAGAAATAAAACGAGCCTTAAAATAAACCAATTATGTACTGACTCTTCGTATAACCAAAAAAATAAATAAATGAAATGATTAACGATATCGGTGTCCTGACAAAACAAAAAATAAAGTAATCCCGTTTCTCTACAGAAAGAAAAACTCATTCTACCAGGAGAAACAAGTCAGCATAAAGGAAGAAAAAATTCCTGTACCAGGAGAAACCCCAGTAAATTTCAGCAATAATTGGACTAGGGTTTCTAAATAATTCACTATATCTTCTAAACTCCCAAATTTCCATATAATCCAGGAATCTTAACGGGACACAAGACCGGCATGAGACGACAAAATAAATTTATCCCTTTAGGGTAGGCTGACGTACAATATAGAAACACTACACACAGTAGGTAGCCCTTATAGAGGGGTGCGCAATAAAATCTCTTAGTATGAGATTGGATACTTGCTAACACGCCCTTTTCAAAAATGCCCGCTTAGCTGACCCCTTCTCCATTGCGGAAGGAATATGTTCGACTTCCAAAACAGTGGTGCCAATATTTACACCTACTTTTCCCTAATTTTACAACCTAAGATATGGATTTGGCCAGACGGATAAAATTAACAATTCACGGTCCCTTGTGCTGAATCTTTTTCTGAATCCTTTTTGTTAGTAGTTCTTTAAATTTTTGAAAAACAGCAGTATTTCTTAGCTACAATTGTTAGGTTCTCTCCAATAATTTTATTTATTGTAAAATCCTAGTTTCTTTTAGTTGTTTTATAATTTTACAAATTGTTCATTTCCGAGTGTAGGTCAGAGTTGATATTTTTTGTTGATATATTTTTTATTTTTATTTTTAATCGTCTCAGGATTTCCTGTGATGGTTTTTGCTGTCTTATAATTTAAGTAAGATTCCTGTGTTATTTGTATAATTTCTCTAAAATGGTTTGTTTTTTTAGCTGCTCTACTGAACTGGATAAGTCTAATGAATGAGAGCTGCTGCTCTCATTCATTAGACTTATCCATTCATATGTCTCTCAACGTCTAATCACGGTGAAAGTGCGAGGTCACTTCTCTGATTATTTTACTCCTACAGCAGGAGTACCACAGGGTTCAGAGTTGGCTCCCATATTATACATAATTTACAATAGTGACTTTCCCAACCCACAATATACTAACACAACTACTTTGCTCTACTCAGATGATACAGCTCTCGTAACAACATCACGAGACGTAGACTCAGTACTTAGGTTTGCTCAAAATCACCTTAACCTGGTCGACAGGTGGTGTGGGAGATGGAGAGTAACACCTAACCCAAATAAAACACAAATGATTCTCTCTAGACATCCCAGTCTCAGCAGATACATCACACCCATCATATCCGAAAGACACAACCTTAGACTTTGGGGGACCGACTACAGCTCCGCGACCGAATCGAGTACCTCGGTGTGGTGTTTACACAAACACTAAGCTGGAGGACCGATCTGAACATAGCCTGTAACAAGGCTAGGAGCAGACTCGGTCTACTCAATGCTCTTGGTGGTAAGTTAGGAAAAACACACCCACGTTCACACATACAAACATGTAAAACATTTATTAGGCCGGTTATCGAGTATAGATCCAACATCTATATGACGATGCGCGGCCACTTCACACAAAAACTGCTGGCACTGAAGAGGAGAATCCTGCGTAGAGTGAACAACAAACGCCGCGACTACCCCTCCACCCTTATTCATCACCTGTCGCCAGCATATTCCGCCCATCAATGAGAGGCTATCCTCTCTGAGCAGTAGTTACACAATCAAAACCATCCGAGGCAAAAACTTCAGAGCCCATAACTTACTGAAAACTACCTGCTCATCCATCGGCAATGTATTCAGAAGAAAACCTAAACCTAAAATCCCTTTCCTACCCACAATACTACTGGCCCTTGCCAGCAACGAGCTCCTGATGAATACATTGACATCCAGGAGGCAACTCTCCTCTACTATCGTCGCAATAACTAGTAAATGCTCACTTCGAGCTTGCCTAGACAGGGAGGGACCGGTTTTCTGTGGTTTCCCGATCCCATTGCACAATGATCCCTGTCTATAGCAGAGGATACAGCCACAGCTGCCCTCACGCGAATCGCGATTCAATACATTTATTATTTATCAAATTGTATACATATAAATTCACATATTCATAAATATTTTTTGCACAATAACTTCTGAAAAGGACCGTTAACCAACACTCCTTTCGCCGCTGATTGTCCAGTACGCTCCTTCGACGACAAGTCCAAGAAGCAAACCACCAGTAGAACCCACAAAGCCAGCGAAAGAAAAACACACCCAAACAAACAAAACAAACCACGTCCTGGAGAGGTGAAAAAAACCTATAACAGGACACCAAAACACCAGACAAAGAATTCATCCCACAGAAAAGAAACAACGAGACAATGAGTTGCTCTCGGCCTCAGTATGGTCTCGGCTCCCAAATAGGGTCTCCGCACCCTGGGGGTCCGATTTCGGGCTCTGCTCCACTCTGCGATTCTTTTAGACTCTGTGGCTGGATAGTTTACACCTTTCAAAAGTTGTTTTATTTTAATTCCTGGTGTAAGAAAAACACAATCCATCGACATGGATTAGCGTGGGGACTTCGATTGACTGGTCGAAGTCCTCTGAAGCACCGTGGGAGTGTTAAGTGGCATGATTCTTAAAGCCTTTACATCCCATCTGGTGATAGCATCTACAGGCCGGTTAATCCGTCGGCCGGTAAATGCGACGCTGGTTAAGAGGAATTAATAAATGATTTGAAAAACAATATACTTTATGTGTGTAAAGCATTTAATTCCTAGCTGAGCGGTTTCGGCTAACAAAGCCATCTTCAGAGCTATTTTTATTTTTCATAATTTGACCATAGCTCTGAAGATGCTGTGTAAGCCAAAAGCGCTTAGATAGGAAGCTTTTAAGAAACTTTTAAAGTACTTTTAATATTATTATTATGTTCTTTCTATCTATGTTACCCTCTGATAATGATTATCACACAATGTGATGAAATCCTTTCAAAACTATCTAAAATCTTAGCAAAATCGAAATCTCAGAATTTACTAAAAAATGTTTCATAAAAAAATGATTCATGTTTCATGCCAAAACCGTGTTAATCCGTCGTAAACACTTGATTTACTCATTCCCGCTAAATATATATGGTACCTATTTGATATCATCCCTCTCTAAAAAAAAGGAGATTTCCATATACCTTCTTTTTACTAATAATAATAAGTTTTGCTTCTTTCTTTGTTTACTATACTGTATATCATAAAGATTTTTAAGAAAAGAACCAGATAAGCCAAAAAAACGTACTTACATGGCAATATATTGACGTATCGATTTTTCCTTCTATTTTCTGACAATCCGGCAAAGTTACATGTGTGCAGTGACTGAATTTCTTTTCCTTTTTCGGTGATTTCAGCGAATTCTTGTTTGAATATTTCGGGCTTATTTTTATTCGATTGGAAGTAGTGGACAAACTTCTTGACGGGCACAGCCGTAGCACTAAGAGGCGGTGGTTTTACCATCACTGAGGGGCGTACATACTTTTCAATGAATTTCCTAAAAAAATGTTTCTCTTGAGGTATGTATATTTCATTATTCTATGTAGCACGTTATGATCAAATGGATTTTCCTATAAATCATAAGTTTTGAAATCAAACATGCAATTGAGAACGATATTAAACTAAAAATGGCAGTCTAATACGAACTTATAAGAAACATATTAAATAAATATAACCCAAAGTATCGATTAATACATATCTTCACTACAACAGCCAAGAAATACAACATGATATCAGCAGAAAAAACCAAATATATGACAACATCTAAATACCCACTACAATATAAAATCGAAATTAATGGGAAAATAATAAAGAAGGAAGGAAGATATCTGGGAATAGATATAACTAGTTATAGTAGAATAGTAAGAAAAACCCAAAGTATCCATATATAAAGTGCGTGCCTCATAATGACAAAATACGGACAAAACGGACAGACGGAGTAAGCCTTACAGTATACTTTTCTGACCTATACAGAAAATGAAAGGTAATACTGCACTTTTCAAGTCATAATAATAAATACACCTTCTACAACACAACAAAAATTATACTGAAATGGTGGCAACGGGCTCCGTTAGGATTTCCGGGTGAGAACTATTTCAGGAGAACACCATTACAAGTTTGAAAAATAGGATAGGGTCTTGGAATCTTGTAAATTTAAAGAAAGAAGTCCTGCAAAAAAATAAAAATAGATGGAGATTATTTAAACAACTTGCGTTTTGCCGACGATAGAATTATACTAGCTGAGAACTTAGAAATGACAAGAAGATGGTACAAAAACTCGTTGTGGCTTCAGAAAATGTACCCCATCAGAACATCAGTATTGGTGGGCAAAAAGTAGAACTCTTAGATAAATATAAATACCTAGGACATGAAATTATGGTTGGCAGGGAAAATCAGACCCATGAACTGAAGAGAAGAATCGGTCTTGGGTGGGCAGCATATGGAAAACTGAGAGAATCTTTTCAAAAGTGAGCTGCCCACATGCCTGAAGAGGAAAGTATTTGATAAATGCGGATCATACGGAACAGAACCACTTACTTTAACAAAAGCCACAGCTACCAAACTAAGAGTCACACATAGAAGAATGGAGCAATCCATGTTAGAAATAATTCTGCGAGACAAAATAAGAAACGAAGAGGTCATCTAAAATGACTGATGGGTGATGCACAAAGAGGTTATTGGAATGAAGACCAAGGAAAGTGGACTTGATGACGGACTGACGATTTAAAAAGAAAAAATAAAAACTGGATGAGAGTGGCTTAAGGTAGACGGTATTGGAAACAGGAGAAAGAGACCTATGTTCAGCAGTAGACTTTTGAGGCTGGATGATGAAAGAAAGGAGTCGGGGATGAGTATGTGAAGATTGTGTGAGATGTGTGAAAGTGGGAATGCATCAGAGCTCAGTGTTTAGTCCTTATTTATTTTCATTAGTGTTGGATCAGATTACAGGAAAACTACAGGGTAACATCCTTTGTTGATCAATAAGATCTTTAGATTTAAATATGGTTTTTATTTAACAATAACTAATATTGTTATGTTGTGTGATCGACGGACTCTCTCAGTCACAGACCAACCAGCACATCGACAGAATCTCTCGAACCAGCTAAAAACATCCAATTGGTTATTAGAATAGAATAGAATAGAAATATGCTTTATTGTCACTGAAAATTATTGAACAATTTTATGGACAAAGCTAAAAAATAAATCAGTCAAATAGTACAAAAAGTATAAAACAAAAACAAATATAGTAAAAAACAGAATAACACAATTTTAAATTAGTAAAATTATTGTATAACCTACATAATTTGTACAGACAACAACAAATGAGACAAATTGTAGCCACTGCTTGAGACACCCAAATGTAATTATAAACAATACTAATTTTGTTTCTTTGTTATACATTAAGAAACTCGTCAACTGAATAATATGGTCTTTCTGAGAGATAGATTTTTGTCATCTTACGAAACTTAATGAAGGATGTTGCGGATTTAATTTCTCTTGGAAGGTGATTATAAAGTTTCTTTGCACGATATAGAATAGAATTCTTTACTAGCTGAGTGGACGGGATCGGCAAATAAACGTTACAATCCGAATTTCTAATGGAGTAGCCATGGTCAGGTCTATCGGGAAAAATGTTTAGATGCTTTCGAATCAAACAAACCGTTTCCAAAATAAATAAAGAGGGAAGCGTCAAAATTCCGTGATTTTTGAAGTAGGTCTTGCAATGAGTTGTTTGTTTGAGACCAAATAGATAACGGATTGCTCTTTTTTGCAACTTAAAAATAGTATCAAATTGGGCCGCTGTACTAGAACCCCAAAATGGAAGCCCATATCGAAGATGGGACTCAAACAATGAGAAATATGCCATTTTGGCAGAAGATAAATTTAGTTCCTTCGAAACAGATCTTATTGCAAAGCAAGCTGAGGCTAGTTTCTTCCTTAAGGAGTCAGTATGCAAGGACCATTTGAGATCACTGTCAATGAGAATACCTAGAAATTTCACGGAATTTACGATATTGATTTGGCTCTCATTCAAAAGCAAGGGTTGCATGACTCCTTTATAAGATAATGCTACAGTCTTATCCACGTTAAAGCTAAGTAAGTTGGAGTCTGACAAAGCCTTGATTATAAGTAAATCAGCGGTTATAATTGAATGAAGCGTTGAAATATCAGAGCTGCTCCAAGTAATACTGGTATCATTAGCAAATAGAAAAATTTTCCCTTTAATTTTCAAGTAAGTGATGTCATTAATGAAAAGTAAAAAAAGAATGGGACCTAATACTGAACCTTGCGGTACTCCACACTCAATATCTTTACAACTAGAGTCGGTGTCATTTATTCTAACCGATTGTTTCCTACCTACCAAGTAAGTTTTGAACCAGTTCAAAGACACACCCGAATTTCATAGAAAGTTAATTTTTTTAATAGAATGTCGTGATTTACGCAGTCAAAGGCTTTGGAATAGTCGCAGAAAACGGTGGCGGAGGAGAGGTTACTGTTTAGTGATAGATATACATCATGTAACACAGAAAATATGGCATCACTAGTGCATTAATTAGACAAAAAGCCGAACTGATTTTGCGATAAAATATTATATTTAAGGAGAAAGGGCATAAGTCGAACTTTTATAAGTCTTTCAATAATTTTTGATAGTGCTGGTAACAAGGCAATAGGTCTATAGTTGCAGGCATCAGATTTTTCTCCACCTTTATGAAGAGGAATGACGATGGCAGTCTTTAGGCAGTTAGGGATTGTACCTTTTTCAAGGGAATCATTTACTAGCGAGACCATGACCTCCAAAACATTATGCGGTAGATTTGAGAAAATTTTAATAGATAATCCATCTGTACTACAGGACGATGTGCTTTTTATACTACGAATTGTTGAAATGAGTTCCGTCTTATCAACTGGTCTTAAAAAGAAGGTATCAGCAATGTTTTTTGAATTAGAGAGATAGGAAACTGGATCTTGTTGTGGCGAAATAGTTGAGGTTATATTTTTACTCACATTAACAAAGTAATCATTTAGATTTTCGGGGTTAGGAAAAGAAAAGGTTTTTGCATGAAAGGACGCGATTTTTCAGTCAGAAGCCAGTTCGAGCTCAAGCTCTTAATCGAAAACTCCTATTAAATTCACCTGGATTCTTCCATTTTATTTCTTTTTGTGATATTTTCATATTGCTTATATTATTGCTATTTTATTGTCGTTTTGTTTGTAATTATCTTGTGATATGAGTCAATTTCATAGCTAATACACTCGACATATACGCATTTATATTTTCTTGTACCTCTTTTTTTGGCTTATATACCTCTGATGTTGCTATCGAGTTAAACTAGTTCATATACTGGTAGTACGCACTATTTTTGCCTTTTATTGTCTGGTTTCGTATCTCCAAATGTGATATTGTTGCCGAATTGACCTCGTAACTTAAACACGAGTGATATACATATTATTTCTCTGTTGTCAAATATTAAATCTCTGTTGTCCACCTGTTGGAAAAACAACAATTCCGACAGTCTCGTGACTAAATCCGACATCCGAACGCTTCCTTATCAAAATAAAGGAAAACCATGACGACAAAGTCCACGAAGCAGTCTCAATCTGAAGACCGTACCAAGTTTGAAGGTTTCGGTCAGGCCGAGAAATCGACGGGCCTCCACCCGTCAGTAACAGTGTTAACTGTTATTTTCTTAAGGTTTTTAAGTGGTAAATAGTACTTACATTACCACTTAAAAATACCTACAACAACAACAACAACATTCTGATGTTTTGGGTTTAAACTTGACTTTTTTCCTTCGCCATGCTTTTTATATCGGTAATGCTTTTTGCAACATTTGGTCCTTCGAGCCGGAGGACCGATGCCTTTCAGTAAAAAAATTACTGATAAACCAGTACTTGTGCTCGGTAAATAAGTGCTGAATGTAGCATTTGCGCGCGTTGTGTGTGCGCGTATGTATAAAGAATAAACGAAGAATACATAAAAATATAGCGTAGGTAGGTCAAAATAAAAATCAAGAATCAAAAATTTACTTAATCCCCACAAAAAGTTGGTTAGACTAGGTAAGTATAGAGAGCATTAGAAGAAACATTAACAAGTTGGTTAAGAGATCTGTATTGTATACTTATGGTAATAAGATAAATGTTGGATTAATGGCTAAACAAACAGCTTAGTGCTTTTATGCAAAAACAAAGCAATGTTTCACAATGTACAAACACTGATCAGGATCATAAAATTATTTTGCAACACTAAAATGTGTATCATATGTCGGAATATTGTCTGGACTTGTTTTCTGAGTTTCCACATTGTTTAAATAGTATTCCCAACAAGAAAATTTTGCAACTACTAGATATGATGCACAATGTAGTATGTCATCGTATAGAAGGGGTTATAGCACCCCAAAAAAAATTAGATTTCATAGCACAGTAATAATTTTTCTGGGTTTTTATATTCTTATCTTCTAGGAAAACAATTTGTACTTCATTTATTAATAAAAGGTTGTGTTACCTGTGGAGATTTTTCTTCCATATATAGAAACCAGCTATTCCTAAAATGGCTATCAGCAAGATTGATATTATCACTCCTACTATGAGTCCTACTTTACTAAGTGCAGCTAAAAAATTAAACATATCGTTAGAGTAACTAGTATTGGTATAAAGTAAGGCTTCTTTATGTGTATTGTAAAATATTTACTTAAATAGTCGCAGAGACAAAAATGCCACTGAACCTCTAAAAATCATACGAACAAGCTGAATTTTGCTGTGAATGTCAATTTGGAACTCCAAAAGAGATGCAAAAAAGTTTACTACTATTACACCTGGGCTTTTCCCTAAAACCTCCCACGTAGAGGGGGGAAAACGGATAAAAAATCGATTTACCACTAATCTGTACGCCATAGAAAAAAATGTTTCAAATAAAAAATGATATAATGTTGATCTTTCCAAAAAGACAAATTTTGGTAGGCCTATTAGCAGTTTGAACATAATACAAAAACCACTCTATCCAACAAAAAGACTTACAGCTGCAAAGAAAAACGACATGATGGACTTACTGCGATATATGCCACCTGTACATCATCAAACTTGCCCACTGCATTAGCCACCATAGCATTTGGTCAACGAAATATCGAAAATAGATCTTCTGAAGATGAACTGATATATGATTAGATAAATTGAAAAAAAAATCATTCAGATTTGTAGTGGTCTAAGTCCATACTTTTTTGTTTACCTCATAGTTTTAGGGCATTATTTTGTAAAACTTCTGAATTTGTCATTAAGCCCGCTTATTTTACACTATATTATTTATGAATAAACATTTGAGTTATGTCCAAGTAATTTGTTGAATTTGTTTAACCTAATTTTAAGAATTTTTAAAATTTAACGCATTTGGATGCTAAAATTATGGAGCTAACATTAGATAGAAAGAGAGAGAATATTATACGGAGGTTTATCAGAGAAGAATGTCTGACAAGGCAGAACCAATAACGAATTAATGCAAATATATGGACAAACAAAAATAACGATAATTGCTAATTCAAAGAATTAACAAAGAATGAATAAGTACTAATGCTGGTACAAAAAACAGGAGGACATCCCCGAAGATAATGGTTGATATCTGTGCAAGAAGACCTGAAATGGTTGAGGGTACAAGAGAAAAACTTACAGGCACAGGACAGAAAGAAATAGAAAACACTAGTGAAGCCTTAGATCTTAGTGTTGGATTTTTTTATCGTTATACCATATTACGCATCTTGAATGAGTACAGTGTTTTTCTAACCCCTTTCATAGTATTGATTTCTAATACATTCTCATTTTAACTTCTAATACATTTACCTACCTGTTGTAAAATCTAATGTTGGACTGTCTGTGTAGAAGGTATCTGTAATAACTCTGACAGATAGATGATAGTTTTGGTCTGGGTTCAAGGCAGGATTTAACACTGAACCATTACCAATGGTAAAATAGATTTCGTCTGTATCTAAAAAGCAAAGAGTAATTTAGCCTAAATATATATTTATTTATACAGAGTTTAAACAAATTCTCTGTGCATCAGTAGGTGCAATTCGACAGACGTTGGTGAATAAACATATACGAGTAGATTATGTATTAATTAACAATATAACTAATTAAAGAATATTTCAAATAAATCTTTATTGGAGCAGTTTTCACTGATAAGAGAGTTTTTAAAACCACTATATGTGGTATTACAATTGGTTGGTGATTATATGTATATCAGCTCTGTAGTAAATTCTACTTACCATGAAATGGATACCAAAAGTCTGGAGTTATTTGTCGCGATTGATCTCCCAGAGCAGGCCAATCTGATTGCGTCCGTTTGTATGAGGTATAGTTAACAGCTTTGTCTTGATTAAGGAGTAAAGCAATGTACTGAGCATCTGCTTGCCATGACTCGAAGTAAATTTTCTTTAGATGGATTTGAGCATTGTCTGTTGCTACGTTTAGTACAGGAAGAACGTTGAAGCTTACGTTAAAATTTGGCTCTAAATAAAACATAAATAATTATACAATAAATAATAAATCTTTTTGATTTTCAATACAATTTTACCAAGTTAACTTTAAGAAGAAAACTTGTTCATCTCCATGTTGTTAGAAATGGATGATAATGTTAACCGATTGAATGCTTTTGTAATACTGTAATAATAATGTAGAATGCCCATAGCTTTTGACAAATAGATTATTGATGATAGATATGAGATAGGAGTTATCAATGAGAATGGACGTCAGTAAATTAAGAGATTCATCTTTGTATAGGTTAGGTCTTATCAACGACACAACAACGACATAGAACACGAAAGGCAGAGGAGGAATATAGAATGCTAAGGAGGGAAGAGAAGAAAATACATCGCAGAAAGAAAAGAGAACACATAGAAAAAGAACTCCAAGAAATAGAAGAACTAAATAAACCATCAGAAAACAGAAAATTCTACCAAAAACTTAACAAAAGTAGAAAAAAATTTAAACCAAGAACAATGATGTGTAGAGACAGAGAAGGAGATAGAGTAACTCAACAGAGTAAAATACTACAAAGATGGACAGAATTCTTCAAAGAAAAGTTTGAAAAAAAAACGAAGATCCACTATATGATGGAATTATACTGGATCAAACAGATACCAGAGAAACAACCCCCCCTTCAGTAGCTGAAATGCAAGAAGCAGTTACCAGACTGATAAAAATGATATAATGTTGATTTTTCCAGAAAGAAAAATTTTGGTAGGCCTATTAATAGTTTGAACATAATACACAAGAACCACTCTATCCAACAAGAAGACTGTTACAGCTGCAAAGAAGAACGGCATGATGGACTTACTGCCATATATGCCACCTGTATGTATGACAAACAACAAGTCATCTGGATTAGACAACATTAGCTCAGAATTAATAAAGGAAGGTGGAGAATTCTATTTTAATTTGGAAGTGAGGCAGAAATAGATAAAAAGAAAATTTTAGATTTTAGGGTCAGTCGATAATATAAATTTATACGGTTAAGTAAATAAATGGTATAAATTAATTGTGTTTTTAATGTTAGTGTTAGAAGACTCTAAATAAATTAATATAAACATTACAATATCTTGATTGTCATAATGTCATTTCAGATATAAAAAACAACAGGATCTAAGTGCAAGATCTTATCAAATCAAAAATTAAATAAAAACATTGAAATACAAAGCTATAAATCCATTGTCAGACCTGTAGTGACATATGGACGCGAAACATGGACAATGACCAAAAAACAAAGCAGATGAAGAAAAACTCAGACGATGTAAAAGAAAAATAGTAAAAATTACTTTGAAAGTTATTAAATAAGACTTAGCAGACATGGTAAATGTATTTTTATGTATGACTAAATAGATAAATTAGAATGAACTTGTACTTACCTCCAGCTGGACTCTTAAACGTAAACTCTTTGGATATGCTTTGATAAAATGTATTGAAAGTTGTAATGTTACAGCTGTAATTATACTGCGGGACAAGATCCATAGTCGAAAACCAATTGACACTATCGTAAGTAGCATTATTAACACCTCCGATGAGATTAACATCGCCATAGCCCTGACGTTTTCCTTTACACTTAATGGTAAAGTTCTTAAAATTGCCGTATAAGTTACAGGGCGTATTGAAGTATACATTGAGGCTGGCTTTGTATGTTTCTGTTAATTCACTTGTACAGTTGCTGGTGATGTTGGTCGCAATATCGGGATCTAGAAAAAAAATGAGTGTACACAACAATAATATAATTCATTCGATGACAATTGGCATCATACAACCACACTGTAAATGCAAATCATCCAAAATCAAACAGGGATAAAATAAGGTCTATAAAACTGGTCTAATGCCAACCTTTAATTTAAACCCATTAATGCCTACCGTATCTTATGTAATACGAGAGACACTGCTACATATTTCGCCATCTACTATTCAGAAGAAAAAAAATAGTAAACATTAGTTGTTTTCCCAATATAGGTTACAGAGTAGATGTTAGGGGATAACTGTTTAGAAGCAATAACCTCTGTGCTGAGCTATACATTCTTTGTGAGATTATAAATTGGGTTTTTAGTTCATGTGAGCTCAGTCTATTATAGCTAGTTATCGAACCAACATCATATAGTGTAATTAGTAGTAGCTCTCAACAAAACCAATATTTTTACTCCACAACTTCAAGGTCTTATTGTATTGATCATTGTCGATCGAGAAGAAGCGGACAAAGGGGCAATATAAAACGATTTTAACCTCATAACTACGTTCGAATCTGCCCATTGGTCCTTCGACAAAACAACACCAAAAGGGCGTTAATTGGATTGGAGCTTCGAAGGAGACGACCCTTAGCGACCTGAATAGCTATTTCCCAGTTCCGTACAAGATCGACGATCGAATTCGAAGTGTGGAGAAAAGAAAAAAGAAATAAGAAAGACCAGAAAGCCCCGAAATTAGAGTAGGAGCCTTACGAGAGCCTTTGATCACCAGATAACCTTAATAGAAGTCCTTAAGTCTACTGCTCCAGCAGTTTGAAGGTCCAGTTTCCAGCAGAGAAATCTAGCAGCATCCAAAGATCAACCTTACCAGTTCCAGTTGCAGTTCTAAGAAGGAAGCAGGAACATACAAGGTGTAATAAACAGAGGCGACTCCGACTGTCACCACTGTAAAATAATAGGAATGGGAGCGTTATGTGAAGGTAAGGAAAACGCTGTCACCAAATGAAATACACAATAGATCCTCAAGGGATGCTAACCCTGCGAGCGGCTGCAAGGAATACTGGTCACACTGGTCTGGAGGGCTGGCTCGTCTTCGTGGATTTACGAGAAGATAAGGGATTTCGGGATAGGGGTAAGGACTCCTAGGTCTCAGGTCCTGTAAAGAGCAGAGGTTATGGGCTTACTTTTGAAGCCGGAGATATGCATACGCAGAAATCTCGTGTTCTCCTAGTCTCTAGAGAGTCGGACGAAAGGAACATAAAAAAACTAATTTAGAGTCAACAATATATTGAATCTACCCTGAAGTTACAAATACAATCGTTAACACTTTATTCTGCGCGTCGGGAGATGATGAAGCAAGATAGTGAAGAGTTGACAGTTGTACTAATATAATTACACAGGTTAGTATAAAGAAATCTGTTACCTTATGTGTATATTAGGGCTTTCAACCACGACACGTTCAGTCTTCTGGAACTCGGTCAGTTGAGGGTTGCGAACTTTCGAGCTGCCACAATAACCGGACTACACGCGATACTATGCCAGATGATACGCGTCCCCCGGAGAATCACCGACTGTCTCGCGTACTGTTCGCGTACTGGACGCTCCCGGAGGCAATTACTGCCTCGGCAGTCACAGCTGCCCCGCTATCACTGACTGCCTATTACTAACTGCCGATTACTAACTACTTCGCGTGCTGGACGCTCCCGGAGGCAATTACTGCCTTGGGCAGGCACAGCTGCCCCGCTACTACGGACCGCTCATTACTAACTGTCTTGTACCCGACGCTACCGCGTCGACCCGGCGCGGCGCCTGGCAATACTGCCTGAACGGGCAGTCACGGTGCCCCCGTTATCACTACTGACTCGATTGACCAAGTTTTCTAGTTTTAAATGTCCTGCAAACATTCGTAGTTTTTGTTTTTGTTATTTCTGCTGTCCTATTTCACGTGTTGGAATGTAACATGCGACATGTAACATGTGTTGCTTCGTTGTATTACTTTTCATGAAGGTCTTCGGATTTCGTAATTCTTAAACATTCGTGCTTGTATCAAACTAGGTCAAATTGTTATACTTTGTATAATTTAAATGTATAAGTTAACTGTATTAATTATCCCTTATTTAATTCGGAATATATAATAATTATCTCGAATAATTATTATCTTTTCTATGCTATTTAGCCATTTATTACAACTTCTCACTCACTTGCTACGCTCACATTACAAAGGGAACGTTGAGATAAAACTGTAAGTTTTTGAATATTTATTATCATTTTGAGGAGTGCATTTTTTTTATAAATTAAAAGATTATTAAAGAAACTTAAGATTGAAATTTAATAATACTTAATTGAAATATTTTTATTCTGCATACTTTTTACTTAAAATAGTAATAGTTTGTCTACAGCTAATTCAAATCTAATATCTTGATTATTTTAATTTTATTAAAATTATTATTATTATTAGGCATTAACTCAATAATAATAATAATTTTAATTATATTCGATAATTTTGATTCTTATAATTTGAAATTCTTAAAACATTTAATTTCCATAATATCGTGACGAATCGTTATTTTTATACACATTTGGAGTTTATTCAATTCCACATAATATAGGGTCTATTTTGCATTTTTATATATAAATTTCTCTCGTTACAAGTGATAATATTACATTTTTTAATTTGTACAATAGGCCGTGTCAATAAGGTTGAGTTCATTGCGTTGTTGTGAAAGGTAATTTTGCTGAGACTTTAAAAGTTGAATTTAGGTCAAACGTATATACTTACGTAATCTAAATGCAGAAATTATATGCAGGACAAGAAAACTAGGTCAAGAAATAACAAAGTTTTTAAATAATTTACGAAAACTACGGAAAAAAAACGAACGAGAGAATTCTTAAACATTAAAAGACAGACACTTGATGAATTGTGGAACGAATATTTAGATTTTGCTTGAATGGAGCAATAGTCAACATGTGGCTTCTTTACCGCAACATTGAGGCAATTTCTTTATTAGAATTTTACAGGCGAATTGTAGAGGCCCTGCTGACAGCTCTAGTTATTCCAACGCCACGTGGAGTACGTCCAAAATGTTCAAAACATGTTGCTAACGAAATTATTTTGGATAATGTGGGTCATTTGGTGGACAAAATTGAAAAACAACGAAGGTGTGGCAAATGTGGCAAGTGTACCAAATATCGATGCATTAAATTTAATGTAGGACTTCATCCTAAGCAATGTTTTGTCCAATATCTCGCATTGTAAAAATTTTAAAACAAATAATGTTTTATGAAATATTGTGACGTTCATTACCTAGCGTATGACATTTATACATAAAAAAATAGTTACAAACAAAAAAAATTTGTACATTGCTATTAAAAACAACCTCTTTTTATTTCATTCTAAGTTTTAATTTAGTTTTGATAAAAATTTAATTTTGGACATTAATGGGTTAAGAACGTGCTTTTGTTCCACTTTATTTTTAAACGTCTCTATATGTTTTAATAATAACGTTTCGGCAGAAGTATGGCATCCTGATTATCTTGCGAAAATTACCGCCCTTTGTGGATATAAAGCATGTGATGTTTCAAGAAGAAAATCGTTTAGAATATCGATAATATTTTTCATTCTTATTCGCGCCATCAACTGTATAGTGAAACTGCGCTCCCTGGCGCAGCCCGTTATGTGTTTTAATAGATTCAGACAGTTCTCTCTGAATTCGTACCCTACATTCAACTTTTTCAAGAGTCAGTTTTGTCAAATTTAAGAACTGATTTGGTATTCCTAGCTGTTTCATTGCTTTGAACATTTCTCTTCTATTCACAGAGTCGTAGGCTGCTTTGTAGTCTATAAATATGTGATGAGTATGCAATGCCATATTCCAGTGTTTTTTCTAAAATTTTTTTCAGGGTTGCAATCTGGTAAATTGTTGATTTACGACCTCTGAAACCAGCCTGGTGTTTTCCTACTATCCGTTCTGCATATGATGCCATACGGTGACATAGTACTGTGGAAAATATTTTATACGCTGCATTTAGGAGCGTAATTCCTCTGTGGTTAGAGCATTCAAAGATATCTCCTTTTTTGTGTATGGTGCAAAGTATTCCAATATTCCAATCACTAGAGAGGGATTTCTGTATCCATATTTTTTTATAAGCTACTGTAATGCTATTATGGTATCATGGCCACCTTCTTTATATAGTTCAGCTGGAAGATTATCTATTCCGGGTGATTTGTTTCTGGCTAGTTTTTTAACTGCATCTTTAACTTCAAAGATCGTTGGTGGTTCCTCTTCCCTCTCGTCTGTTCCCCTTCCTAATCTCTTTCGCCTTCCAGATTTTCTTGTTCTTACTCTATATTAAGTGCCTGGTTAAATTATTCCACCCACCTATTCAATACACCTTTCCTTGTTGTTAATAGGTCGCCATTCTGACTTCTGCTTGGTCTTGTGGCTGCCTTGAATTCTTTTCTGTTGATGTTATCTTTCTTATTGAATGCTTTGAATTTGAATTGTTTTATATTTCTAGATGTAAAGTGTCTCGATTATTAAAGCCACGCTTCTGCTGCGTAAGCATTAGGATGATTTTAACTATGCACATACAAGACTTCGTCAAGTAAAGATATGTCGTTATTCTCCCTCAACTTAGTAACATTGGAAATAATCTTCACCTGCTCCAAAATAATGCATTTCTATCGCATATGCTATTATTAATCTTACACATGATTTATGTATTCGTATTCTTCCATCTAATCTTATATTCTCATTCTTTCAGATAACCCTACTTTGAATATATTCCAAATATACTAATTTTTGAGAACTTAAAAGGACAAAAATAAATACTTACCGCTTTCCAATGTTGTGACATTTACAGTAGTAAAATTTCCATAATATCCCGAAACAGTTTTTGCCCTTAACTTTATATCGTAATTTGAATATGGCAGAAGGTTCGTGACATCTTGGTTCATCCTACTGTGTGATATGTTACCAAAAAAGTTGCTAGGCGTTGGTTTCGAACAAACCTTTGGAATCTCATACATCGGTTCACGGTATTTGACGCTAAGTTCGTATAATTCAATGGGACCGGTTTTTTCTAGAGGTCTTTGCCAGGGTATGGACAAATTTCGTGCACCTTTCTTGATCATTGAGGGGTTAAGTATAGGCAACCCTGGATCTAAAACAAAGTAAATTTACTATTGTTTAAGTTTCGTAATGATACGTACATGTGAGGAAGGTAGGAAGCGAACACAATAACCTCTTCTATCAAACCCAAATGTCAACTTTACCTTTATGAAGCGCTGCCTGTTAGATAACCGACGAGACTCTGGCAACTGAGTAACTACTGCAATTAGTAGTACTCCTTCTACTACTCAATGGCTTCGGATGTAAAAATCGGCAAGTGATAGGATAACTCATTGTCCTAGAGTGTAGAAATTGGTGTCAAATGCGGAAGAACTGGCATTCGAATGTAAAAAAGCAAGGGATCTTTGATACCACACTAAAGATCCAGAAGTAATGAATCCACAAAATGGCTAACTGTAATAATAATTATGAGTCCCGAATATAAGATTCGGAGGAGAGAAAATCGATTAGAAACATTAGATCATTATCAAGCGAAATAATTGTCAAATTAATAAAAATAAATGAATACCTTTAAAAATTTGAACATGGGAAGTATCAAGTAAATGTCAAATAGAGGGGGATTAGCTATATACATCAAGTAAATGATAGTGATTCCAGTGAGACCAGAATTGAAAGAGGACATGTTTTTAGAAGAGACCAATATAGAATTCTTCAGTTGTAAAAGATTGATTCAGTTGTTCAGAAGCAAATGTCATGGCTAAAGAATATCACGATTTAACAGGAATATGTAGTACTGAACAACTATTGCCAATGTTAGGAGGACTTGGTATGGCACCCAAAGAAGAATTTTGGTATTACAGAAGAATACGACGAGAGGGTGAAAGCACTAGCAAATGAAGAGAAACAAGCTTTCCTAACATACAAAGGAGTCAAGACACCGGAAGCACGAGAAGACTATGTGAGAATCAGGAATAGAGTAAACCAAGAAATAGATAACATCAAAAAAGAACACTGGGAGAAATTTACCAAAGATATGGAATACGATCTCTATGGATCCCAGAAAAAGGTGTGGAAGATGATAAGGAGAGAAAAACAGAAATGAATGAATTTGTACGCATAGATTACGGAGGAACAATGGACTGAGCATTTCACGAAATTATATGGAGAAGAAGAGAACAGAGAAATAATCATTAACGAAACCCACGATAGAGTACTAATATCACAAGAAGGGCTACAAGAACGAATAAAAAAATTAAAAAATAGAAAAGCACCTGGTCCTGATAAGATAAACAATGAACTGCTAAAATATGGAGGAACAACATTACGAAAATGGCTCCTAAAATTATTTGTCGATATAATAAATACCGGAGTACTACCAGCGGAATGGAACGAAAGTCTCCTGCTACCGATACTTGATAAGGGAGACATTAGTCTGATGAATAGTACATTAAAATTGTTAACGGCAGTTATAAAAGATAAAATCGAGGAAAAAGCGAACATGGCGGATGAACAACAAGGCTTCCGGAAGAACCGCAGCACAATAGACGCAATTTTTATTATCAGACAAATAATAGAGAAGTCTATTGAATATGGAAAACCAGCATACATGTGCTTTGTAGATTTAAAAAGTGCTTTTGACAGGGTGAAGCGAAATGACATCTTAAATTTATTACAAGCTGAACAAATAGACCATCAGATAATAAGGACAAGTAATGAAATTGACAAGAACAACAAGACCAGAGTTATAATGCCAACAAGAGAAACAGAATGCATAAAACTAAAAGCAGAAATGCGCCAAGGACACTCGCTCACGAAGTTAGAAAACGACACGGATACCACAGAAGATGACCTACAAAGGCAGCTCCACACCTTCAATATCACAGCAAACAAACTTAATATGAGAATATCAGTAGAAAAAACTAAATGTATAGTGATCAGTAAAGAGCCGCGTAGATGCAAACTAGAAATAGACGGCAAAATTGTAGAACAAGTAATGAAATTCAATTACCTAGGAGTAGAGATCACTAGTGACAGGGATATAAGAACAGAGACCACAAGGCAAGCATCAAAAGCGGCAAGAGTAAGTGGTTGCCTCCGAGAAACCATAGGAGAAACAAATATCTGACCACGGAAAGCAAAATGAAAGTAGACAAGAAAACAGTAAGACCAATCTTAACATATGCAGCTGCAGCGGAGACAAGGACCGATACAAGAAAGACGAAACAATATTAAGATCAATAGCGGGCATATCGTTAAGAGACAGCCAAACCAACAGTAGTATACGCGAACAATACAAAATTCAAAATATTAACAGGTGTCGGATATTACCTTTATCTGAAACAATTTGGTGGATGAAAGGCTTAGTGGTATTGGGCCACGAAAAAGAAGAAAAATAATAGACTATGAAGTATGCTATGAATGTTAAGTGTTGTTGTTATTGCAAGTATGTCAATAAATATAATTTTAAATAACTGTAACTAATTCTGTATGTATACAAATAAAAACCAAATCCAACATACGCAAACCTCTTAAAACGGGTAGTTTTTTGGTGGTGCGACATTGTGGCGACCGTGACAGGACTTTTTGAGTTGGATTTCGGTGTGACTTTTGTAGTTGTGGGCCAGTGAGTTTTTACCGCGTTCTTTGGTTTGTGATTTGTATTGAGAACGTTTCGGTGGTTTTGAACCAAACGCACTATGGCAGCAGAATTGGAAAATAGAAAGAAAACCAGAAGAGTATTAAGGGCTATTTTTACGCGTACGGCCAACGAGTTAGAAGGTCTTATGAAAGCAGAACCATTGGACTACGAGTCAATAGAAGTGTCCTGGGAACTGTTAAAATGTAAGTTTGAGGAGTTACAGTCAGTTGATTCCCAAATTACTGAATTATCATTTGAAAGCTCTACTGAGACGGAGCTAGAAGCAGAGATAGAGAGTTGTGATGTGTATTTGAGAAAGTTTTCCAAGTGTAGAACCAGATATAACAAGCTGATGGAAGAAACGAAGACTGAAGCATCCAGCAGACATAGTGTAGTGTCCCAGAATACAGATGAGCCACAACTAACAGGTATGAGAAAATTTAGATTACCTACTATTGAATTTAAAAAATATGATGGCAGTATCAAAGGTTGGTTGGCATTCTGGGCACAATTCAAAAAGATTCACGAGGATGATTCTATTGATTGTCATGATAAGATAGAATATTTAATTCAAGCCACAGTACCAGGTAGTAGAGCACGTCAACTAGTAGAAAGCTATCCAGCTATGGCTGACAATTATAGTAAAATTATGGAAAGTATGCAAAGCAGGTTTGGCAGAGAAGACTTACAAATAGAAGTATACATTAGAGAGTTACTAAAACTCATTTTGAGTAAGTCTGTGTCTAAACAAAAGATTGATATATCTAAACTGTATGACAGCATTGAAACTCAACTGCGAGCACTGGAGACATTAGGTATCACATCTGACAAGTGTTCAGCAATGCTCTTTCCATTAATTGAATCTTGTTTACCTCAGGAATTGCTTAGGGTGTGGCAACGCTCCACAAATATTGATTATAGAGATGGGACATTGGAAAACAGGTTGAAACTGTTGATGACTTTTCTCAGAAATGAAGTAGAGAATGAACAAAGGATTGCTTTAGCTGCTGAAGGTTTTGGACTGTCTGAAGAAGTGGCTTCATCCTCTAAAGCTAGTGTCAAGAGGTCATCAGGTTTTCCAACTGCTGCTAATTTAATTAATTGTGAAATATCAGCTTGTGTCTTTTGTTCAGGTACACATGGTAGTGAAGATTGCTTTAAGGCACAAAAAATGACGTTTGTTCAAAAAAAGGATGTTCTCATTGGGAAGAAGGCTTGTTTTAGATGTCTAAAAGTGGGACATCAGACCAAAAGATGTAAAACAAGGCTAAGATGTGTTATCTGTAGCCAAGCTCATGTAGTCTTGATGTGTCCCAGTTTAACAATAAGTCAAGGTAAGCCGAGTAATAGTCAAAATGAGAACATGTCTTCTAAGGATGTCATAAACGACCAGGCTTTGACTAACCAAACTAAAGGTCATGTATTTTTGCAAACATTGAGAGTCACTTTAATTGGTATCTTTGGTAAAAGTCGAGTTGTTCGTGCCTTAATTGATAGTGGGTCACAAAGATCATATATATTAAAGGACACAGCTTTAAAATTAGATTATCCGGTTAAACGACAGGAAAAAATTGTTCATTGTCTGTTTGGAGGGTCAGAAGTTGCAAACTCTCATAACTGTTATGAAGTCACAATACAGGGTAAGAACTCTACATATTGTTTTGAGGCCTTAGATCAACCAACAATTTGTAGTGATGTAGCTCCAGTATTTCATGGTCCATGGAGGGAACAAGCCAAGAACCTTAATATTGATTTATCTGATGATCTCCAACCTGGCCCAATTGAACTGTTATTGGGAGCAGATGTCGCTGGTTATTTGTATACAGGGGGTCGTCATAAATTAGATTGTGGGTTAGTAGCTATAGAAACTCTCATTGGATGGACACTTATGGGAAAAATACCTACAAGTAGTAAACATTCTGATGTTGTCATGTCCACATTGAATCTTCTCATAAAGGATGCTTCCTTAAGTGAGCTTTGGGAGTTGGAAGCAATTGGTATTAAAGAGCCTACAGATAGACATACCAAAGAGGAGGCTGCTTTAGCTGCTAGGGATTTTTTTATGCAGACTGTAAGTGTAGATAAGATGGGCCGCTACGAGATTCGTCTTCCTTGGTTGGATGGTCACCCTCCTCTCCCCAGTAATTGTGAGTTGTCGGAGAAAAGACTAAATTCCACTCTGCAAAAGCTGAAACGTGATGGTCTTTTTGAAAGGTATGATGATGTTTTCGCTGACTGGCAGGCTGAGGGTATAATTGAGTTAGTTGGAAAGTTAAATGATGTTGATAACAGTCTAGGACATTTTTTACCTCACCGCCCTGTGGTAAAGGAAGAAAGTACTACCAAGGTACGTCCAGTGTTTGATGCATCTGCACATTCAAAGAATAAACCTTCACTTAACCACTGTTTAGAGAAAGGTCCAAATCTGATTCAGTTAATTCCTTCAATGTTTGTAAGGTTTAGAGAAAACAAAATAGGAGTGATTTCTGATATTAAAAGGGCATTTCAACAGATAAGTGTGCATGAAAGGGACTGTGATTTCCTCAAATTTTTATGGGTTGATAAAGAAGGTCAGACAGTAGTTTTTCGTCATAAACGTGTGGTATTTGGTGTTAACAGTAGTCCATTTTTGTTAGGGATGACGCTAGAGTACCACTTAGCAAGATACCTGGAAAAGGGCTCTACATCAGAATCATTGTATGCTTTAGATGTTGTTAAAAGGTTAAGTCAAAGCTTCTATGTTGACAACTGTGTTACAAGTTTGCCTGATGAAGAGATGGTATCAAGGTTCATTACAGAGTCTGTAGCAATTATGGCAGAGGGACAGTTCGAACTAAGAGGGTGGGAGCGTACAAGAAATGATGAAGTTAGTGGAACTGAAGAGATATGTCCTGTTCTTGGTATGAACTGGCATCCTGTACGAGATGTTTTGATAGTTAATTTGAAATTCTTAAGAGAGGACACTGACTTGGAAAATATGGTAGTGACTAAACGTAGAATCCTTTCTATAGCACAGAAAGTGTTTGATCCTATTGGATATTTATGTCCAGCTCTATTAGTACCCAAACTCATGTTACAAAAGTTGTGGGAGAAGAGCTTGGCATGGGATGAACCACTTGATGAAGTCATCTCTGAAGAGTTTAAAATTTGGTTGAAAGATTTACCTTATCTTGAGAAGATTGAATTGCCTCGATGGGTACAAATGAATGGTGAGGTATCACAAAATTTAAGTATCCATGTCTTTTGTGATGCAAGCAAACTGGCCTATGCTTGTGCTATCTTTTTGAGAGTGAGTTATTCTGGTAAAGTATTTGTATCCCTATTGGCCTCGAGAGCTAGATTGGCTCCAATTAAGAAATCTACCTCGAAAATGACTATTCCACGTCTTGAGCTGCTAGCTGCAACTATAGGTGCCCGTTTGTATGTTCAAGTTGCAGAGAACTTGCCAGGAAATATAGAATCCTTTTTTTGGAGTGACTCAAGCACTGTTATTTCCTGGATACAACGCCAAGAAGAATGGGGAGTTTTTGTATGGAACAGAGTTAAAGAAATTCGTAGCTTAACTTCAATGGAAAACTGGCGTCACCTACCAGGAGTGGTCAATCCTGCAGACTTGCCATCACGAGGGTGCACGTCTAGACATTTGTTTCAGTCGAGATGGTGGGAGGGGCCAAAGTGGTTATATGAAAGCCGTGATAAGTGGCCTTCTAGTGCGGCTACTTGTGATGAAGAAGAAGTTAATGCAGAGCGTAGAAAGACTTTGGTGACATCTCTTGTTAATGTTTATAATTCGTGTGACTGGCATTTTAGCTACTTTTCACAATATACTAAGATGGTACGAATGGTGGCTTGGATTCAACGTTTTGTAAAAAATTGTCGCAAAGGTGACCAGAAGTATAAAGGTGAGTTAACCTCTGAAGAGTTTGAGGCTGCAGAGAAATTTATTTTGATAAAAGTGCAGCAGGAAAGCTTCTCAGGTGTGGATGATAAAAGGATTAATAATCTTGACCCATTTTATGAAGAAGGGGGTTTGATTAGATTGAGATCTAGAGTTTGTAACAGAGAAGATACACAGTATTACCGTTTTCCAGTCGTACTGCCATCTAAACATGAGATAACCATCAAGTTAATTAGGTATTATCACTTGAAGTCTTGTCATGTTGGGACCCAAGGTACTTTAAGTTTGCTCAGAGAAAGGTTTTGGGTTCTCTCAGGAAGGCGCAGTGTAAGATCCGTTATCTCCAAGTGTGTATTGTGCCGGAGGTACACTGGAAAACACCTAACAGTTCATACTCCTCCTTTACCGGCTAACAGAGTGCGTGACGCTGTAGCTTTTGAAGTGACCGGTATTGACTTTGCGGGACCGCTGTTCCTTAAGACCGGTGAAAAAGTTTGGATTTGTATGTTCACGTGTGCGATCTTCAGGGCGGTTCATCTGGAACTCTGTTGTTCGTTATCAACTTCTAATTTTCTTCAGGCCTTACGTCGGTTCGTGTCTCGTCGTGGTAGGCCGAAAACGATTTATAGTGATAACGGTACGGGTTTTGTGGGTGCTGAAAATGCCTTATCATGTCTGGACTGGGACAGTATTACTCGTGAGATGTCTGTGCAACGTATTCGTTGGCATTTTAATCCACCTACCGCAGCTTGGTGGGGAGGATTCTGGGAGCGCCTCATTGGTGTTATGAAACAGTTGTTGAGAAAAACACTAGGTCGTGCTAGTTTGGACTATGAGACTTTGCTAACGTTGTTATGTGAGTGTGAGGCAATAATTAATTCGCGACCATTAACGTATCTATCGGAGGATCCTCAAGAGTTAGTTGCCTTGACACCAGCGATGTTTTTGCGGGATCAGGTGGACTGGGGGCTACCAGATTGTGATGCTATAGACAATGCTTCATTGTGTCGGAAAGTGCGTCGGGTTCAGACTTTGCGAGAGGAACTTCGTAAGCGATTCCGTTTGGAATATCTTGGACAGTTAAAACTAGTTTACGCGAATAAAACTCACCGCCAGATCGCACTTAATGAAATTGTGCTTGTCGGCAACGATGGCAGTAAACGTTTAGATTGGCCTATGGGACGAGTTGTTGAACTTTTTCCTGGTAAAGATGGAAGTGTTCGACTGTGCAAAGTTAAGACAGCTAAGGGATATTTATTGAGACCTGTCCAGCGTCTTTACCCACTAGAGTGTTGTACTGTTCCTGAGTTCGAGCTTCGGAATGATGTGAAGACGTCAATGAAGGATAACGGTGAATTAAATGGTACCCCACATGTTCCTGAGTTGGCTGCCAGAGACTTCAGTTCCGAAGACGAATATTGTGAGGGTGCGGGAGTGTTTAAAGTCAGTATTCCGACAAATAGTGCAAAGGTTTCTGAAGTGAAAATCACACGTACGGGACGGGCTTCTAAATTGCCTAAACGTTATTTAGAGTAGTGATTGTAAAAACTGTACCTATTAGCCATTTTTAATTTTTTGTATAATGGTTTTGTAGCATTTCTCTTTTAGATTTTGTGAGCAATATTTTATTTTATCAGAATATTCCTCAGGTGGGAGTATGTCAGATATTACCTTTACTTGAAACAATTTGGTGGATGAAAGGCTTAGTGGTATTGGGCCACGAAAAAGAAGAAAAATAATAGACTATGAAGTATGCTATGAATGTTAAGTTGTTGTTATTGCAAGTATGTCAATAAATATAATTTTAAATAACTGTAACTAATTCTGTATGTATACAAATAAAACCCAAATCCAACATACGCAAACCTCTTAAAACGGGTAGTTTTTTGGTGGTGCAACAACAGGTGAATAAAAACAAGAAAAAAAACTGGAACGAACGTGTAAATCGAATGGGACCATAGATTAGCGAACATATGTAAAAACAACAAGCTTTATAGCAGGAGACCCGTTGGAAGACCGCCAAAAAGGTGAAAGATAATGTACAGTCAATAACGACTAAAAAAGAATAAGAGGCAGACAAACAGGAGTAATCCTAGTCGCACGAAGAAGAAGAAGAAGACGGAAGAATGCTTGAAATTTTATAGATGGAAAGAGGGTTAGACCTAAAGGTGATTAAGAGGTTAAGAAATGAACCAGAAATAAGATTGACCAAAAAAAAAATGTCTATTATTATAACTGATTATAAAAGCAAGAAGCCAGAACTTGGAGAGAAAGGAAAAATGATTAGCAGCTACATTTTAACTACAGTTAAAACATTCTTTTTCTTTATGTGCCTTTTCCCGTCTCCCTTAATCTTTACAGAAGATGTGGTACTGGGGGAATAATGGCAACTGAAAGTTTTTAAGAATAAAGTAAAAGAAACTATGAAATTAATGGAAAATAGGAATTGAGGCAGATTCTGTAATGTACACCCATTATATACCTACAACCAACATCTGTGGTAATATTGTCCTTGGCCCAGCTTCCGATCGTTGTATCATCGAGTTGTATAGCGACCCTGATTAAATATTCATGTGACGGATTAAAACTATGATCAACAGTTTGGTTGTTGACGGAATTGTTGTAGAACACACGCTGATCTTGTTCTTCTGTATATCTTTCTTGGATCTCAATCCAGTACCCATCCATGTTTCCATTTATTTTGCAAGGATCATTCCAATGTATGTTTACCGGTATAATGTTATTCTCGAGTGACTTGGTGATGATTGTTAAATCTGTTGGGGCTTCTGGCACTGAAAATAAATTAAGAAATAACTTTTTTTTGTTTTAATCCTGGATAAAATTAATATACAATCAACACTTAAAGTTTAGCATAAATTTTATTTAGAGAACTTAAGTTTAAAAAAAATATATATACTTCGTTTGTTATTGATAACACAGTTTTTATGACAAAGCTTATTTACATTTTAAGTTTTATAGTACTTATCCGATCCAAGCATGAACAATACTACTGGTAAAACCCTTTACTACTCATACAGGGATAGCACAGACCCTCACCACAGACATGGGGTGGGAGTTCTGATAAGCGAAAATTTGCGCGTCTCCGTGAATAACTTTGTCCCGATCTCCGAAAGAGTCATACTTATTCAGTTGCATGGAAAAGTTAACTAAATATTATACAAGTCTACGCCCCTACAGCAGACAAGCCAGAAGAAGAACTAGAGCGATTTTATCAACAGCTAGACGAAGCCTTAAAGGTGACTAAAATATGGTCTTGGTCAGAGAAACGACAGACGGGACAGATTGATACAGTACTGCCAAGACAAAGATCTAGTCATAACGAATACTTGGTATAAGTTACCACGGAGGCTTTACACATGGCAGTCGCCTTTAGACGGACATCAGGGCATTATAAGGAAAAAAATAGATTATGTGACAATTAATAAAAGGTACAGGAATGATATTACTAAGGTATCTGCATTACCTGGAGCAGACATAGGATCCGACCACAATCCCTTGGCAACTGAGGATGATGTTGAAAAGTCATGGACCACCATAAAATAATCATTTGATGAGGTGAACAACACTTTTCTACTCGAGAGTAAAACAACTACCAAGAATGAGTGGATGACAGAAGAAATATTAGAGATGATGGAACAACGCAGGTAGTGTAAGATTAGGCAGGACCGAGTAGGGTACCGAAATATACACAGTCAAATTCGTAAAGAAATTATAGCGGCGAAGGACATCTGGATGAGCACACTTTAAACCGAGGCTGACAACCTATATAAACTCGACGACAGCTTCAATCTTCACAAAAAATTAAGGAAATTACTGGTGTCTTCAAGAAAAAATAAGTCACTGGTATACATAATGACCAAAATGAACTAATAACGGACCCTTGCGATATACTTAATACTTGGAAAATGTACACAGCCAATTTGTTCAATGATGACGGAACACAAAAACCACCACAACTGGGAGACAGACTGTCTTAAAGTTTTTAAGAATAAAATTTAGAAGAACAAATCAGGCCAAAGATGAACATAACAACGATTTCGTACTCACCGACGAAATGTGTACAACAAAGTATAATTTGCACCTTTGGAAAAATGCACCTTTTATGAAATCTATAAGAACGTTATCGAAAGTCTAAGAAATGCCACCAGAGAAGCAGTAGGAGATCAAGGCAAAGGAGATCAACAAAATATACTGGTGGAACGAGGAGATAGAGTTACTAGTTCAGGAAAAGAAACAAAAATATTTAAAATGGTTGGCAACAAAAAATGAACAAGATCTGGAAGATTATAAACAAACAAAAAGACAATTAAGAGCGGGCACTAATTTAGCTAAGAACGAGACGTGGGATAAGAAATGTGAAGAAGATAATTATATCGGAGGAAGGAAATGCTCGGAGGTATGAAAATTTATATCAAATGTCAAAAACCCAGCAAAGGACAGAGCAAATATCCAGAGAATCAAACCGGAGCAGTGGATACAACACTACAGAGGTCTACTACAAGAAACTAGACAGAAATACATGATATAATCTCCAAAAGAAACAGTAAAAAATACAGTTTTGAACCTTAAGTTAGGGAAAGCTAGCGGACCAGAAGGGATTTTCTCCGAAATGTTAAGATGGGGAACGGAAAAACTCTTTAGAAATCTAACAATAATTATCAATAAATGCCTAAATGGACATCCTGTTCCAGAAGACTGGAAAACAGCTTATATATCATCCATCCATAAAAAAGGAAATAAACTGGACTGTAACAACTATCGAGGCATATCAATCACGAGTACACTGAGCAGACTATACAGTAGAATACTGCGAGATCTAATTGAAGAAGACTATAAAGAGAAAGAAGAAGAAGATCAAAGCGGCTTTAGAGCAGGTAGATCGTGTACCGACAACGTATTTTGTCTAAAACAAGTCATAGAGAAGAGATCTGCTAGACATCTGGAAACCCATCTTACATTTGTGGACCTACAAAAAGCATATGATACAGTCCCAGTATCGAGACTGTGGAAGGTATTAGAACAAACGAACATCAATCACAACTATATAGCTGCACTTAAAGAACTGTATGAAAATTCACAATCAAGAATTAAGATAGGTAAAAAACTCACAGATGCCTTCATAGTGAATAAGGGACTACGTCAGGGATGTCCTATCTCTCCTACACTATTCAAAATATATGTAGCAGCGGCACTTAAGAACTGGAAAAGGAAAATACACGGAATGGGTATAGAGATAGATGACAGATACCTGTTTACTCTTCAGTTTGCAGATGATCAGGTCATAGTGGCCAATGACAAAGACGACATGCAATATATGATTAGAAAGCTGATAGAAGAGTATGAGGAATGGGGCTTGACAGTTAACGTAAATAAAACGAAATATCTATGTGTAGGCTCTCAGAGCGAAAATTTGGAGTTGGACAACGGTCAAGAAATTCTGCAATGTCAAGAATATGAATATTTAGGTATCACATTCGACAATACCGGAACAGATGTGAAAGAGATAGAAAAACGAATAGTTACAGCTAAAAAGATAATAGGATGTCTGAATGGCATCTTGTGGAGCAAGGAGATAACAAAAAGGAGAAAATTTAATATATACGAGACAATGGTTAAGAGCAGCCTATTGTATGGAGCGGAAACATGGAGAATTCCAGACAGACAAAAAAAGAAGGTAGAGGCAGTCGAAATGGACGCGATAAGAAGATCTATGCGAGTCTCACGAAGAGAAAGAATGAGGAATGACCATATAAAACAACGAATGGGAATAGAAGGTACGATAATTCAGGATATCGAAAAGAAACAACTTACCTGGTACGGACACGTAGAGCGAATGCAAAATACTAGATGGCCCAAAAAAATACTGAACTGGACCCCAATAGGGAATAGAAAGCGAGGAAGACCCAAACTAGAGTGGCAGCAAAACATAAAAAAGTCAATGAGCGAACGGAATCTATCAACGGAAGATTGCCACGATAGAAGAGGATGGAAGTTAGGTGATATATATATATATATATATATATATATATATATATATATATATATATATATAAAGGAGGTATTTCTTTATAATAGCATGATAGATGTGTCCAAGCCTTTAGTATTTTTTCTTTATGTGAGTGTAATACAAAGTATCATAAGTTATAGCACAAATCATTAAAATAAGTCCTGTATAGATAAGTCTCCTAAGATAAATAAACATACCTGTATAATTGGTCGTCACTATAATAAATCCCGTAGGTCCTTGTCCACTTACACTGGAGGGGGTTAAAGAAAAATTGTACTGGTAGCTGGGCCACGCTTTGTCAAAACTATATTCAGTCTCAACTTTATCAAGAGTTTGTCTACTAATAGGAGATGGTTTTGGACAATCAGGATCTTCATTATATGTTGACCCTAAGATATCAATACTTAGTTCGTATTCAGTTATGTTCGCTGCTTCGGCGCCATCTGGTGGAATGTACCAGCGTATAATAAAAGAAGTTGCATTTTGGAAAGTAATAGTAAGATTTGGTGTGTTTGGTACTAAAAATATAAAAACATCTATTAGTATTAGGATACTCATAGCGCCATCATCTTATTCAAATTTTTGAACATAGTCTTTAAATTTTTAACTTTTTGAATTTAAAAGAAATAATATATTTTAAACTTTAAATTGTGCGTAGATTTTAATTTATTTCTTCGCATATTTTTTATTTATTTTTTGTTAAATTGATCTTCTTCTTCTTAACGTGCCCTATCAAGTCCCCTTGACGTTGGCGATTAACATGGCGAAACTGTCTCTGTCTCGAGCTATTCTAAAGAGTTGCTCAGCTTTCTTTATTCCTGTCCACTCCCTGATATTCTTCAACCAAGAGGCCTGCTTTCTACCAATTCCTCTGCGTCCTTCGATTTTACCCATCATAATAAGTTGAAGAATATTATATCGGTCTCCCCTTACTACGTGTCCAAAATAGGCCATCTTTCTACATTTGATGTTATCAAGCAGCTCGCGAGCAGCATTTGCTCTCTCAAGGACTGCCACATTTGTCAGCATAGCCGTCCATGGAATTTTTAGTATACGTCTGTGCAGCCACATTTCAAAGGCCTCCAGACGATTAATGGTGGATATTTTTAATGTCCATGCTTCGACACCGTATAAGAGGACTGACCAAATGTAGCATTTAACCATGCGCTTTCGAAGTTGAAGTTGCAAGTTATCATTACAGAAGAATGACCTCATTTTTAAAAATGTCGTGCGGGCTATCTCGATTCTACATTTTATCTCTTGATCTGGATCTAGTTGTTCAGTAATATGGCAACCAAGATATTTAAAACTGGACACTCTTTGAATTATATGACCATCAACATATAATCGTGCATCTTGATGTGCTAAACGGCTAAACACCATGTGTTTTGTTTTTGAACAGTTTATGTTTAGGCCAAACTCTCTTCCCACTGTATCAATGGCATTTAAAAGGCATTGTAATCCATTCATGTCATCACTTAAAATAACTGTATCGTCTGCATATCTGATTGTATTTATCAGAATTCCATTAACTTTCACGCCCCATTCCAAATTATGCAGCGCTTCTTTAAATATTCTATCTGAATATAAATTAAATAACAGTGGGGATAGTATACAACCCTGTCTGACACCTCTTTGTATTTTACATATTTCTGTTGATTTTCCGTTTATGCAAGCTGTCGCTGTTTGACGCCAGTATAACTTTTCTATGAATCGTATGTCTTGACTATCAACTCCTTTATCTTTTAATATTGTAATTAATTTGTGATGCTGTACTCGATCAAAGGCCTTTTCATAGTCAATAAATACAGCAAAGACGTCTTTTCTTTGATCTCGACATTTCTGCAGTAATACATTTAGTGCAAAGAGGGCGTCCCGAGTTCCCAGTCCATTTCTGAAGCCAAATTGTGTTTCATCCTGATCTTCTTCACATTTATCTCTGATTCTACTGTGGATGATGCGTAGAAATATTTTCAAAGTGTGGCTCATAAGGCTTATCATTCTATAATCGCTACAGTTTTTCGGACGTTGTTTTTTTGGTAGTGTTATGAATTCGGACTTTAACCAATCTTCAGGGATATCACCAGTCGAATAAACATCATTGAAAAGTTTGACCAGTATTCCAATGTTCTCCTCATTTATAAGCTTTAACATCTCTGTCGGTATGTTATCAGGGCCAACGGCTTTCTTGTTCTTTGCTAACTTTATAGCATGCAGTATTTCTGATTTTAGTATTTCTGGTCCTTCACCTTCAACTAAAGTCTCCGGTTCTTCGGGTCTATCATCATTATACAGTTCACTTATATAATTACACCAGGTTGTTCGAATTTCATGTTCGTCTATTATCATTTTTCCCGACGAATCGGTTATAGTATGTGGAGTTTTCTTATGATAAAGACCAGCTACTTCTCTAACTTTTTTAAACATATTAAACGTATCATGTTTTTCATTCAACTTTTCTAATTCCTTGCATTTATCCTCCATCCATTTTTCTTTAGCCACCTTTATTTTTTGTTTAATTAGTTTCTGTTTTTTCCTTATATTCTGTCTTGTTACCTTTCAGTTTCCTTCTCTGCTCCATTAATTCCAGGATTTCATCAGTCATCCATTGTTGTTTTTTGTGCCTGTGTAACGTTGTTGAATATTTTTCTATTACTTTCAAGGTAAGATCTTTAAATGTGTTCCATATTTCTGTGTTGTTTTCATTTATTGATTTCTTTAGCTCATTGTTTAAGTCATTTTCTATTAACGTTTTGTTGGATATTGAGATATTTAATTTTGGTGTTTTGGGGCTTTCTTGGACTTTTTTGAGCTTCACTTTGATGTCAGTTATTACAGGGTTATGGTCTGAACCGATATCTGCACCAGGATATGTCGTTACTCTGGTGACGCCATTCTTAAATCTCTTGTTTACCAGAATATAGTCTATCTGATTTCTAATCATATGTAGTGAATTATCTCCTGGTCCCCTCCATGTGTATAACCTTCTTTTGTGTAATTTGAACCATGTATTTGCGATTATCATGTCATGTTCTTGACAGAACTGGTATAATCTATCGCCTCTTTCATTGCTCTCCCCTAGTCCATATTCACCTACCAGGTCAGATCTTCGGCCTTGGCCAATTTTTGCGTTAAAATCTCCAATAATATATGTGACTTCGTTACTTTTTAGATTTTTAAGTGTCTGTTTTAATTGGCTATAGAATGATTCGACATCATTGTCATATTTTTCTTTTCTGCAGTAGGGGCATATATCTGGATAACATTGACATTAAATGGTTTGCTATTTAATTGGAGTATTGCTAGTCTGTCGTTCACTGGTATAAAATTTTTTACATATTTCTTAAATTTAGACGTTATAAATAAGCCAACTCCATTCCTATGATGTGTGTCATCTTCTACACTTCCAGAATAGTATAGTGTGCCTTCATCTTGTTCACATATTCCCGTTCCAGGCCACCGGAGCTCACTGATGCCCATTATATCAATTTTTAAACGTTTAACCTCTTGAACTAAGTTACTGAGCTTGCCTGCTGCATAGAGGCTTTTAACGTTCCAGGTACCTAATCTGATTGTACTGCTAGACATTTTTAAAGTTGTCGTACTTCTAAAATTGTAGGGATTTCGTGTGATGACGACCGGGGAGGCCCTACAGTCTGGTGCGCGCCCTTCCCTGCCGGATCTTGGTTTCCGTGATCCATGATCAGTAATACTTCCGTTACGATTGTATTGAGCCATGTTAACTTTACTCGGGAGAAATAATTGGGGTGGTTTCCCGTTGCCTTCCCCAATGATTTTTCTGACGCAATAGGTTTACTCCTGTGGGTTGGATAATCGGGAAGGATTTTTGGGTGTTTGGTAGGAAACTTGGATCGGGACATGACCTCCCCTATTTGGTTTTGAGGGATAGCCATGGCTTGCGTGAGCAGGTCGCGTCCCTGAAATAGATCTGACTTACACCGGGATCGTATAAGTGTATCTATCCGCTACTCTACCGCTACATTGATCACACTAAATAAATTATGTATATGATACAAACACATAAATAATATGAAACAAAAGGATTTTCTTGTGAATATCCGTTGTAAGCATATTTTTGAACATTTATTACCATGGTTTATTCCGTTTCAGAGTCAACTTCCATAGCACTTAGGCTACAATTGACCCATTGTTCATCTTCCCAAGGAGCTGTCGTCATTAGCTGATTGTACATACTGCCAGAGAACTAACGAACACACTGTGTTCTGTGTTTGTAGTTCTCTAATACTGCCATGTATATGTATAGGGGAAGTGTGCCTATGTTGGACCCCTGATTATGATGGACTCCCTGCTGTAATTTCAAATATGGCGCGGTTACAGCACATCGCCGGTTGCCGCTTGCGCACGAAGTTTTTAGTTAAGTATTTGCAAAGTTTCAGACCCGTGGCGGTTGTAACAGTAAATTTCTTAAATAAAATTAAAATTTGGCATTGCTGATCAAATAAAATTTTTTAGTAAGTAATATTTTACTGGAAACACACGTTAAGCTAAGTGTTTCTTTTGTTTTTTATAAAATGACTACACTTTCTTAGTTAAATACTATACTTTGTTTTAGGTTAGAATGGTCAAAACAAAAGTAACAGAATTAAATTTACTGTCTTGTCTATTTGCCTATGATGGACCCCTTTGTCGTTACTTATGACGCACTAGGGACCCATTATAGGAAAAAGGAAATAAGTTGAAAAAAAAAGAGGTTAATCTTTGTAAATGGGTATATTTATTTAAAAAACCCTTAAAAGGGCCACATCAATAAAACAAACGTTTTCGGACCACACAGTCCATCATCAGGTTTTTAAAATCGAAAAATGCTAGGTCACAATGCCTGAGCCACCAAAATACTAGGATAAAAACCCTTTAAATTACATTTAGTTATGAAATATTGTACATTGTGTTGTAAAATAACTGTGATGTTCAGTATTAAATTAAATTGGACTATAGGTAACACATGGCTCAATCGGGTTCCAGAGCCGGTGAGAGGGAACCTCTACACTCGGAGAACAGCGTGGAAATAAGTTGCTACTTAACGATTGACATAATACATTTTACAGGGATGGATCCTCATAAAAGGTAACAGTGGAATGAGAGTAATATGCAGCAAGCTTTAAAAATCATACAAGAAAAAACTATGGGATTTAAGCTGGCAGCAAAATCATTTAACGTTCCAAAAACAACTTTGAAAAGGCGCTTTAATAATCAACAAGGAAGTACCAAAGGTGATTTGGGAGGATGAAGACCAATATTTTCCACTGCTATCGAAAAGGAAATTGCTGACCGTATTATCACCATGGAAGCTTATTTTTTTGGCCTCACCAGTAAAGATTTATGAAAACTTGTATACGAAGTAACTGAAAGAAACAATATTAGCCACAGTTTTAATAAGGAAACCAAGATGATAGGCTGGAAATGGGCCAGAGGCTTTTTAAAGCGAAATCCTCGAATACCATTACGAACTCCAGAAAATACTTCGTTGGTAAGGGCT